CTCTGGAATCAGGGAAGAGAGATGGTGGGGACTGGCTGGTAAGAGGCTGCTGGAATGGCAGAACCAGGCAGAACCAGGTGTGGGCTCTGAACTGCTTGTGGTAGGAAGGATCGAGGAAGGACACAAAGGCCTAGGTGCAGGGGGACTCCCCGGCAGGGAGGGCCAGGTAAGCGAGACAGGTGAGCGGCCAGCACGCCCTCCAGACAGGTGCCCCGGGGCCAACACTGTGGACTCCCTCTCTTCTTTTCATGCCAGACTGGGCATCCTGAGCCCGTGAAAGCTGGTGACTGTGGCTACAGAGAGGCTGAGTTCTGCCTCAGGGGGTCCTCAGTGGTCCTCAGGGGGACACCAGGTCTGAGGCTAGGCTCCCGTCCTAGGGCTGAGGCCATCTGCATTTTTCCTGCAGGACTCTGCCTGGCTCCTGCCCCAGGCTTCAGAGAGTGGAATGCAGGAGACGAGGTTCCTCTTCGCAATATGCAGAGGGGTGCTGGCTGCACTAGTTTCACTCTAGCTTGTTCCTGAAAGTCAAAGTGTTAGTCGCTCAGTTATGTCTGACTCTTTGCGACCCCTCGGTCTGTAGCCCACCAGGCTCCTCTGTCTATGGGATTCTCCAGGCAAGAATACTGGAGTGGGTTGCCATTCCCTTCTGCAGGGGATCTTCTCAACCCAGGGATCAAACCCGCATCTCCCACCTTGTGGGCAGATTCCTTACTGTCTGAGCTACCAGGGGAGCCCCCCAACTCTTCATATTTTTGCAATGTTTATTTGGAGACTAAAATGCAGAGCATGAAAAGGATAGAAACACAATGGTGTTATTAAGCAATGCCAGGGTACTCTGGAATTTAAGAGCTATGTTTGCTATTTTTCTTTAAAGGGCCCCTATCTTATTTTTTTAATTCAAGGAAGTATACATTATAGTTTTAAAAAAATACACACAGAGAAAGAGATAAAAAGAAGGAGGGAGTGGGGAGAAGAGGAGGAAGGAAGAGAAACGACATGTATAAAGCCAGAAAATCTACACAGGACAGAAAAGTACAAATAGTTTATTTCGGAGAGAGAAATAAGCCACTACTTTGAGTCTCAGGACCCCTGTGGGGCTCATCAAATGCAAATGAAAATGAGAGATGCGCTATTAAAAAAAAAAATTAGTAAAACTTAGTGAAGACCTTTCCTTTTCTGGTTAAATGATATTTTCTTCTTTCATGTTTTTTGCCCCCTTTTCAAACTTCTCTGGATACATTATACCTTTCGAAAGGTTGAAACCAACAATGACTTTCTTAATGTGTCTTTTTCCCCTCACAAGGAATAAACAAGCCTACCTTTTTCTCTCAAATTCTCCATCAGATGTGGCTTCAGCTCCTTCAGTAGGCGGCTACCTTCTCGTTTTCTGCTTTTTGCCTCTTTTGATGATGAGCGCACAAATGGTGACCTTGTGGTATTGCTGGAAAAAAGAGAAAAGAGCAAAATAAACAATACTGTGCTCCTGGGACGAGAGTGAGAGTTAATTAACGTGGTGGTGCCTTTTGTTTCCTTAGCCTCTCGTGTAGGAAGTAAGAAAAATGGGAAAATGTCTCCATTTCTATTTTGTTTGTTTGTTTTTCATTACCCCATTAATCTCCATAAACAAAGCATGTTTTTTAGTTACAGACCCACTAGAAAAAAAATGCATATGCTAAACCAGATGGGTGAAATTAACAGTCTCATTAAATGTATTTTTAGATAGCCAGTTTTACAGTATCACCAGTGACATCAGAGCTTTGATTTTGTGCCACATTTGAAATGCAAACTTTAAAAAAACGTGCAAAATGAGCAGTTTTCCTTTAGCAGTATTATTATTTTATTATTATATCCACAAGGGCAGAGAACTGTCTAGATTCTTTTGTAGAGAAAGTACCGATTGGTAATGTTTGGGGGGGAGTTAAGAATTTTAATAGGTAAAAGAAATAATGAAGCCTTTTCTACCTGTCTTCGTTTCAGCCTGCAAATTTGTGTGTGTGTGTGTGTGCATTTGCTGAGGATTTGAACTTTGTGAAGTTTCTCTCTCCTGATTGTTATTCTCCAGCAATCTGTGCTTCTGGGACAATCCTGCTAATGATTTCTGGGGTTCTGTGCCAGATGTCAGCAGGGCAAGTGTTTCATTTGGAGCTTCATTTAGTTTGGAGTCTCTTCTCTCCTTTGAGTCCCCAAAGCCCATGTCCGTGGGTACTCAGGCAAAACTCATCATCTTAGTTATGTGTTTGGCAAAGCAGGTAAGGCCAGAATGAATCGTTAACAAAATGGTAATATTGCTTTGCTCTGAGTATGCACAAAGGGGCATTGGAGATGAGTATGTATTTAAAAGTAAATATAAGAACAAGTAGGAGTAGGGTTTATTTTGCAACTCCATCTGAGTGCTGCAGTATACACTGAATCACTGCAATAGGTTCTCACCCTATCTAATGGTTGGATGGGATGGAATTCTCTCAGCTCTGCAGAGAGAAAATTCAAAAGAAGAGCCCCAGACTCCTGGTGGAAAAGGGCGTTATTATTCAGATCCATCCCAACAGATGAGCAGAGGAAAATGTTCAAGGATGTTCATTGGCATGTTGTTGGTTATAGCCAAACCACTGGAAGCAACCCAAGAGGCTAAAAATAGAGAACTGGTTGGACAAACAACACTGCTATAGAATGCAATACTATTAAAAGTTTAGGAAGAAGAATAAGCTTCTGACTGCTGTGGACAGATATCTGTGGTATGCTGTTAATTTAAAAAAGAAAGTTGACAGATAAGCATAGGGAACTAGACTCAATATCTTGTACTAATCTATCATGGAAAAGAATCTGAACAAGAATATGTATGAGTCATTTTGTTCTACAGCTGATACTAACACAATGTTAAACTAATTTCAATAAAAATATTCATAAGGGGAAAAGTTGAGAGTTTGAATCTATAGGAACTTTTTGGAAAGAAAATATGTATGTATATAGGCAGATAGATGTGTAATGAATTGTTATCTATGCTGAGGAAAAGTCTAGAAGTACATACAGCAAACTTTCAATAGTTTTCCTTTATAATTAAAGAATGACTGAAAGAGGGGGGACTTTTTATTTTATATAAACCTACTTTGTTTGAGTCTTTTTTTTTTAATAACAAGCAGCTAATTCTTTAGGAATTAAAAAAAATACAGAAGGATGAGCAAAGTCCATTTGTTCAGTGAGGTGGTTCTTTCAGCACTCACCTCTTAAGAGGGAGAGAGTAAAAGCTGATCTAAGGTGCTGCCTCTGAACAAGCTAAAGAGGGTGAGGGTGAGGAGTTTCAGGAGCCAGGAGATAGGACTACCTTAGCGCTGAGTGGAGGTGGTGGACGGGTACCGTTCCCACAGCTTAGCAAGTGAAGGCACCTGCCTCGCTGACAGGGGCGGTCAGCTCCCTATGCGCTCAAAGGGATAGGCACCAGCTCATAATCAATGGCGTGGGCCTCACAGTTTCATCCGTCGGATTCCACTGGCTTCTGTGATGCCAAGGCAGAGGCATCAACCTCTGCCAATGAATCAACCTCTGCCAATGAACTGCCCTTCAATCCGATCTCAAATCCTCCAGCGAGAGGTTTCCAGCAGTGGAAACTTATCTCTGTTCATGCCTTTTGTGAATTTTTTGCGAAAGTCGCTCAGCCGTGTCTGACTGTTTGCAACCCCAAGGACTATACAGTCCATGGAATTCTCCAGGCCAGAACACTGGTGTGGGTGGCCTTTCCCTTCTCCAGGGGATCTTACCAACCCAGGGATCGAACCCAGGTCTCCTGCATTGCTTTGATGGAGTGCTGATAGAATGAGTCTCTCGTTGCCTCTTGGCAGTTGTTAGTAACATTTTAATGTGGGATAGATTGAAGAAGAGCAAAGAAAAATGTTGGACGTAATTCTTAGGGGAGAAAATTTTCATTTTAAATAAGTTGACTGCATCTCTTTAAATGGAAGTAGTACCTGTGCAATCCTATGTGACGTTTTGTAACATAGCATCTAGTAGATACACAGAGTAGAACTGTAAACATTCACTGGCTGATTAATAAGTGAGAGATGAATAATGTAGATAGACTTTAAAGGACTGTGACAGATTATAAGGCCTTATAACTTGCCCATTTGGACTTAGTTTATCAATTTATGGGAGGATTAGGTGAAAGGAAGTGCCATAGTTTAAAGCAATTGTATAGAGAGGTCTCTATCCATGGCAGTAAGGTACTTATTAAGACACCTGGTTGCCTATTATCAGGAAGAAGCTGGTGCGCAGTGAATAGGAATCTTTTTCTGTGACCTACCAAGCTGGATTCTAGGCTTGGCTCAGCCACTTGCCAGCTTTTTAACTTTAGACAAGTTAGTTGACTTCTCCAGACTTCAGCCTCCTCATCTGAAAAATTAAGACCCTAATAATAGTACCTACCTCCTAAAATTGTTTGGATTACATGACATAATTTGCATAAAGCACTCAACCCAGTATTGGGCATTTCATAAGCCTTCAATAAAAGCTGACGTCCTTTTTGTTGTATTTAGAAACCCACAAGGAAAACCGGAGGCAAAAGATGATAAGAAGGGATCTCAAAATAAGGTTCTTGTGCTCAACTTTTTACAGCAGCACCTAGGATCTATTTCTGAGATAAAACACACTTTCCTTCAGAGTCTTAGAGGGAAAAAAAAATCTCTCTGGCAGTTTTGGAGGTCCTAACTTGGTGTGCGTTACACTGAGTAGATGATTCTCTTGAGGCATTCTCTCAGCTATAGAAAGCACATCTTTTCCCCCAGGATACTAGACTGTCATCTAGTGCCAAAGGAAAAGCTATTTACAGAATGACACCCTGGCATCCCCAACAGCTTTGATTTACTTCCCCGGAAGGTGGTATATTTCAAGGCACTGCAGGACCAGCAATATTAATAACTCAGGTGATTTAATTGGCTCTTCCCAGTTCTTTTTAAAGCCATGTCGATCCCATTGTAGTTAATTGTGTGTGCTGCGAATTGTGTTATTTACAGTGCCAAGGAACCAAAATGAATCTGTATTAGACTTCGGTGGGCGGATATTCGAGAAGGCTGTAAAGAGACTCTCCAGTGTTGATGGCCTTCACCAAATTAGCTCCATCGTCCCCTTTCTGATGGATGCCAGCTGCTGTGGATACCATAAAGCATCCTACTACCTCGCAGTCTTTTATGAAACTGGATTAACTGTACCTCGGGATCAGCTGCAGGTAGAGTATTTCATGTGTCCCAGGAATATCCGTCACCTAGATGGTATTTGCAGAGTGGGGCCCTCGTGCCCCAGGTGGAACTGGACATATTCATGCTCCCCGGAGTCCTTTAAAATCTTTACACTCAAGAAAAACAGCTTAGGGCTGTGTTAAATACAGAATCCCCTGCTGGCGGTGAGTGAAAAAGTGCACTTTATCCATTTCTGGACACAGCATGGGGATACGATTGGTATACTAAGGAATAGTTTGTGCAGGGCTTATCAAAATCCTAATCCTTCAAGAACAGGTGCTTCATACCCAATTCTTTGTTGTTGTTGTTGTTGTTATTGTTGTTACCCAGTTCTTATAACTATTCTAGCTGTGGGCCCGTCATCCCATATGACTTTTTAGCTTAGTGGAATCATTTAGACCTCTAAGCAAAGGATTGTCACATTCAGCCTTCTACCATTAAAACAGGAGAAGGGAAAGGCATCCACTCCAGTATTCTTGCCTGGAGAATTCCATGGATGGAGGAGCCTGGAAGGCTACAGTCTATGGGGCGGCAAAGATTCAGACACGACTGAGCTAATTGCACACCGTTAAAACAAAAGTCATACTAGACTGTTTTGTTTATGGTGTTGAATCCAAATTTCTTATGCAACTTGCTTAACATCTGGAATTGCATTTTTATAAGTGCTGCTAAATAATCCCTGATCACATAGTTTTTGTATTTGCACCCCGGATTGTTTAACCTGGATTTGAAGAGACTCAGACAGTTTAGACCCTCCGAGATGGCTCCATATCCCTTTCACTTGATTTCTCTGTGTGTGTGTCTGGCTGTAGCTGCTGCTGCTGCTAAGTCGCTTCAGTCGTGTCCTGGCTGAACAGCTCATGACTGATGGCATGCTTTCCTAAGTCCCTGGGGCAGTAACCTCCGAGGTGGAATAGAGTAGGAGACTTGAGCCCTGTTTCTGCCACAAAATGGCTGGTTGACCAAAGATATATGACTTCAACTCTCTGAGCCTCTATTTCCTCAATTCTCAAATGAGGTGGTTGGACCAGTCGATCTCTAAGGACCCTTCCCAGCACTAACATTCTGAGAATGTGAGGTTGGAACGTGGCCCACCATTCAGATCATCTGACCATAGATGATGTAGCTGAAGTGGGCCAGCATCCTTAGAACAGTCGGCGGATACCCGAAGAGATGCTGTGAGATAAGTCAGGGGAAGACCCCGTCTTCACTGAGAGAAGAACAAAGGAATTTTCGGCTATTAGACATTGAGGACAGATAATCACAAGAAAGCTCTTATGACTTTTTCATGTTTTTGTTTTGTTTTGTTTTTTGACCACACAGTGTGGCACACAGGATCTTAGTTCCCCAACCAGGGACAGAGCCCATGCACCCTGCATTGGGAGTACAGAGTCTTAACCACTGGACCACCAGGGAAGTCCTATCTAAAGTTTTTTTAAAAGGCGTATTAACTTGTTTCCAGCATGCCTAAGCTCATATTATAGGGGTGGATCCAGATGACCTTCCTATGTTAGAATTTTACCGCCCTTTTCTGTAATCTTGTGAACATTGTCTGTTTCTTCCTAACAGGGCATGTTGTATAGTTTGGTTGGAGGCCAGGGCAGTGAGAGACTGTCTTCGATGAATCTTGGGTACAAACATTACCAGGGTATTGATAACTACCCCCTGGACTGGGAGTTGTCCTATGCCTACTACAGCAACATCGCCACCAAGACACCCCTTGACCAGCACACGCTACAAGGAGATCAGGTACGAGAGAGAAATGGGTGGGAGTGGTTATGGCCCTGCTTACTAGGGCTTCCTGAACAATTTTATAAAGTGTCTGTCTCTGTGGCTGGTTTATTCACTGGCCTTCAGAGTGCAAGCATAATCGCATGCAGAGAGAAGCCCTCGTATATTCTCTAATTCATATTTCCTCACTGTGCTCTCAGACAGAACGCAGGGATCATCCTACATCTGTGTATGAAGAGTTTTTCATGAGTGGGAAGACTGGTATGGGGAGGGGAGATACAGCCCTGGACAGACTTTGATTTTGAAAACCCTGTGTACCAGAAACAGAGACATTTTGTCTTTGTTCCAAAATCATGTGACTTGGCAGGATCTGGAGATGTCAGGGGAGACTGAGTCAAATTAAGCAGGGGGCAGTAAGCCAAGGGCTGCTGTCAACACATTATAAGCAGCAGGGTTGCAGAGTCTACATATAAGAAAGCTCCATCCCATCCTGTGTTCCTGCTGCCCAGCACCTCGAGAAGCGTCTGCCCATCACATGAGCCACAGGGCTGCAGGTGACTGGCAGTCCATCCCGGATTAAGGACTGGATGAGGGGCACTGACTCCAGCCTCTCATTTTGCAGGCTCACATATCTTTTTGACTCATTAGGCAAAGAAATCAGTGGCTAATATCTGCCTTCTAAACATGATGTGTTACACTGGACCAACTGATGGTTTGTTTCAGGAACCATGAATAAAAGGCTAAAGATGATGCATGCATGCACTGTCTATTCAGTCATGTCTGACTCTTTGCGACCTTATGGACTATAGCCCGCCAGGCTCCTCTGTCCATGGGATTCTCCAGGCAAGGGTACTGCAGTGGGTTGCCATGCCCTCCTCCAGGGGATCTTCTCAGTCCAGGGATCAAACCCATGTCTCTTGACATCTCCTGCATTGGCAGGCAGGTTCTTTACCACTAGTGCCACCGGGGAAGCCCAAGGAAAGGTGACAGTGTAAGAATAAAAAGAAAGCTGCCTTTAAGTGATGTAGATTTGCATCCAGCAGGAGTAAATTGTGATGTGGTGACCTCTTGGCTTGTATTTTTCATAGCACTTGAGCTAGTTAAGTGAGAATTGCAAGTAGACTGTACCAGGAGTTGACAATGTTTTCCCGTGTAAGGCCAGATAGTAAATATTTTAAGCTCTGATTTTATAGTCACTATTTCAGCTACTCGGCTTCTGCCAAAGATAGTATATAAACCACTGGGGTGCCTGAGTTTGTGCAACCAAGGACAGTAGGTTGCTGCATGGTCAGATCTGGCTCTGGTTGAAGCCATAAGCTCTTGATTTTCACCTTATGCTTGGTGAGCCTGGGGGATGGGTCAAGCTTGTGGAATCTTAGACAGAGCAGGCTAACTGGGAACAAGACCACTTACTGTTCCCCGTGCTGCTCCTGCATCACATTTAGAAACCCCTAGTGCAGAAAACGTGTGCTTTGATGATTGGGAATGAATGGTTTCCGGAAAAGAAACCTACAGTGGCCTCTGTACAGTTATGAAATAAATGACTCAAAGATACATGTTGTCAGTGAACATTAAACATGAATCAAGCTATAAAGTACCCAAAGGCTATCTGTATAGACATTCTAATTCCTTTAGAAGATAATGATTTCTCCTGAATAAACTTACACACTCGTCATTATCATCTATATTCTCTCAGCATACATAGGCTATGGGCAAAATTTGACCTCAGTTTGACAGGAATTTTTTAATTTATTCATTTATAAAGTTTTTAAAAAATTATTCTGGAAGTACATGCATAAAAAAATTAGACCACCAAATAATATTGTTATTGTTCTGCTAAGCTTGAATGTGTTAATAATGTCCTGTACGTATATACTTTTAGGAATTCTAATGCAGCATAAATGAGCAAGGGGAGATGGTATGTTGCTAACAAGCTCCTTTTCTTTTGAAGATTTGGCCCATGAAGTGTTATGATTATGAAAGAAAATGTTTAATTGGTCAGAACCAGAGAAGATGAATAGAGAAGATCCATCTTGCAGCTGGAAAGTCGTATGATTAAGAATCACAGATATGAATTATACAGTTAGTTGTATCATAGCTCATTTTCTTAAGAGTGTGTAATTAATGGCTTCTTGAGAATTTTAGCAGGTGTCATACGTTGATTTAAATACCCTTTTGTTGAGAGATCTATTAATTCACCAGCAGCACATGACAAGGGGCTTCTCAGGTGCAGCGTGGTAAAGGATCCTCCTGCTGATGCAAGAGACACAGGGTTGGACAAGGGTTCAATCACTGGGTTGGGAAGACCCCCTGGAGAAGGAAATGGCAACCCACTCCAGGATCCTTGCCTGGAAAACTCCGTGGACAGAGGAGCCTGGCAGGCCACAGTCCATTGGGCCACAAAAAGTCAGACATGACTGAGCACACCCACACACAGCACATAAAAAATGAAGAGATCTGGAAAGCCAGACCTCTAATTAACAAACCAAACATCCATCAGTAACTTCTTTCTTGATTCTTGTTTCATTTTTTATGTAACTTATGGTTCCCATCACTTCTATATTAGTAATCTCTTTTCATGTCACTTCTATATGATTTAGGGGGACTCTACTTCAGGTCAAAGAGAAAGAAGATGCTAGTTGTTTTTTGGTTTGTTTTTGTGGCTTAATCACAAATGAGTTCCTATCATCCTTTTCGCCCCTCAGAATTTGCTCTTCTGAAAGGTTTGGTCCTCAGACTTTTGTGTCTACACCTTCTAGAGGGCCAGGGGTCTCACACATCCCTCGCTCCACATACTGATGACTCAGAAATCTGACTCTCAGGCTGAGCTCTTTCTTACAAACCCCCATTTTTGCAGATGCAGGTATCACAAAGGCAACACACTCTTTCCTCCTCTCCATTCCCCACAAACTCCTCAACCTGTGACACCCCTGTCCTTGCCAGGAACTGGGGAGTCATCTTCAATCCCCCCATCATCCTAGCTGGGGTTATAATCCCCAGCAGCTTTACATGCCAATTTCTCTCTGCTCCCACTCCCATCCAATATACAGCCACAGCCTACAACTGTCCTTTACATCTCTCCGCTGAGCGACTCTGATGGCCTCCTTTTATGGTCTGAGTATGGCATGAATTGATCCCTAAGTCTATAGTTTGAAGCTCTCAACCCTGGTACCTCAGAAAAGGGCCCCAAATTAAGGAGACAGAACCTTTGAAGAGAGGAATGCGTTCAATCATGAGGAGACCCTCCTCCAGCATGACTGGTATCCTTACAAGAAGAGGAGGTTAGGATGAAGCAGAGGGATGACCGTGTGAGGACACAAGTTAATGAAAAGGGCCTTCAGAAGGACCTAACCAGGACGTCCATGGCAGACTCTGAGCTTCCAGTGCAGAGGGCACGGGTCTGATGCCTGGCCCGGGAACTAAGATCCCGCATGCCACGTGGCCAAAACAAACAGAAGAACTAAACCTGCCAGCCTCTTGATCTTGGACTGCCAGCCTCCAGAAGCATGAGGAAGTTAATTTCTGTGGCTTAAGCCGTGCCGTCTATGGCTTTCTGTTATGGCAGCAGCTCTGGCAAATAAATTTACCCCCTAAGTGGCCTTTCTGTCACCAGTTTTGTCCCTTTCCATGTTCTCCCCACGGAGGCCAGAGGAGGCTGACGACAGGGGAAGCTCTCAACCTGGCTGCACCTCAGAGTCTCATGGGGGATCAGAGAACACCTCTGTGCTGGCTCCATCCCACGTCTCATCATATTGACAGGGCGGGGTCCAGGCGTATAGTATGGGTATATATGTCTATGTGCATGAGTATATTTAAAGCTTCTTCAGATGGTAGTAACATGCAATCAGTGCTGAGGAATACTGACCCAAAGCACCAGCTCATCACTTGGCACAGGAGTCGTTCCTCAATCAGGTTTCTCTCTGCTTCTCCAGTCTCAGCTCTCAGCAGTCCCTGCTTGGCCTGCCCACCCTGGAGATGCCAAGCTTTGGGTCACATCAGGCTGTCCATACCTCCTGATCCTGCTGGGTTTCCTCTGCCTGGCTTGCTTTCTCTATGCCCACCCCTCCTTTCCCCGTCTGCTGACCCCTCCTCCTCCTGGAACCCTGGGATCAGACATCACCTCCTCCTTGGAGGTCCCCTTGGCCGCGCACCTGGGCAGCCAGGCACGTCCTTGCCCTTGCTCAATGCTGGGTGCTGTGTACAGGGTCTGAGGACTGGCTATACCAGTAGACTGGGAGCCCCCCAAGACAAGCACTTTGTCTGTTAATGTTGGCGATCCCAATGCCCAGCCCTGTGCTGGAAATTTAGGTGGCACTCACTGTTGACTGACAGGATAGAAAGCAGAGCAGTCAGAAATGAACACAAAGTGATCGCAGTGTTTTGTTGACTCTCTGATACTTTCTCATGTGACCAGTGATCATTGCTGACAGCAAGCACCTAGGCACTTGGCTTTCAACTCTGCCTCCCTTGCAGTCAACACCTCTTCACCCTATTTGGGGAATCTTGGGTACTTGCTTCTGTGTCTGCATCTTTACACCTGATATTCCTCCATTCTTACTTTAAAAATCCCTGCTGCTGCTAAGTCACTTCAGTCGTGTCCGACTCTTTGCGACCCCATAGACAGCAGCCCACCAGGCTCTGCCGTCCCTGGGATTCTCCAGGCAAGAACACTGGAGTGGGTTGCTATTTCCTTCTCCAGTGCATGAAAGTGAAAAGTGAAAGTGAAGTCGCTCAGTCGTGTCTGACTCTTCGTGACCCCATAGACTTTAAATTTCAACAAAGAAAACTTAGATCCCTGCATTGAGCGCCAAACATTGTAGCTGATTTTAAACACCCTAAGATCTGGGTTCCTCACAGTGGCTCCTCCAGACCCTGAAGGAAGTGGTGGTTTAGGTGTAGACTCAAATTGCCCTGCTGCTGAGTTCCTGGGAGTGCTGGCTAAACCATTCTATTTCACGACTTCAGAGAAATGGGGGGCCACTAACAGCCTTTGCTCTCCAGGTTCAAAGTCCACTAAGTCCTTCATCCTGCCTGTCCTGTGATTGATGGCAGACAGCTGGCATGATGTAGCCTGCAGGTGAGCAGAGAGAAAGGTGGCAAAGCATATGAAGAGTCTAGGGACAGTGTGAAGACTTCTCTGATGCTGGATCCAGGGATGTCTGAGGATGCAGAGTCTCTGGACACCAGACCTCCTCTCACCTGATCAGCAGGTCTTAACCCTGCAGTATAGGCTATGAACTGCTCATCCTAGAGCACTTGATTTTATAACACAGCAACAAAAAGAACCCTTCTCCCCCAGAAGTCGCAGAAGATCCCAGAACTGGTCAGTCTGGACTCTGGACTCCTACCAGCATCTCCCCAGCTCTGCCCCTAACGCTCACCCCCACCGGTCTTTCTCCACACCATAGCTTCTTCCAGGATTGGTCACTTTCCCATCTGAAGCATTGTTCCGTGTTCTCAAAATGTCTGATGGATGAACAGTCCGACACTGCTACCTTTTAGGGATTGTTCCTTCATCAGACGTCTTTGTGGATGGTTACTTTCCCAGAGGCCCTGGGTGTGTGGCTCTGAATGGTGCTGGTTCCCACTGTGGGGACCCCAGAGCTGTAAAAATGCGAATACCAGCCTGGGTGCAGCAGGCAACTGGGTGCAGCTTCAACGCCAGTTTGCCTGGATTCAGGTCCCAGGGCTGCTGTTCATAGGGTGTGAAATCTTGGGTAATTCCACTCACTTCTCTGTCTCTGCACAGTTTGTCACTAGTAAAGACTGCCATGTCACTCTCCACCTCACAGAGTTGATAGAATGAATAAATTAATCCATATGATGTGTGCTGAGTGGAGCCCAACACACAACATGATGCTCTCAAATGTTTCTAGCCCTGACACTCCCTCCTCAGATCTGTCCCTTCCATCTTCAAAAGCATCAAACTCTCAGAAATTCATCCCCACAACGTAAGGCTCTGAGCTGTACAAAACTGCAAACACCAACAGGAGGGCTCATATTCTAAACTGCTGTCAGCCTTTTACGTGTTAGAATGAGTTCAGGACCTAAAACATGAGTTACCATTCTGGAGCGCTTCCCATATGCCAGATGCTCTGCCAAGATCTTCACAAACAATCTCATTTAATCCTCCTGCAACTTTGTGAGGTCAGTACAGGTATTGTTCCCATTTTACAAATGGGGCGTCTGAGACTCGGAGAAGCCAAAGAACTTGCCCAAATTCAAACAACAAGCAAGTAGTAGAGCCTAGATTTTAACTCTTTTTGTACACTCTCTAAGTGTTTGTAACTCTTTTGCACTATTAAAAATAATGGCTAGTAGGTAGAGTGCTTTTGATATAGCAGATACCATGCTACACTTCATTTTTATCGATGCAGAAGCTAAGACTCAGATAAAGTCAGTGGCCCAAGGCCTACAGGTAGTTAGTGGCGAGTTAGAATTCATATCCCCTTGGGGTGATTTGAAAGATCTGATGTCACCACCATGACATTATTAGATGGAATTTGTTATGAATAAGGGGAGATGGTGAACCAGCCCCCCATCTGCTTCCTCCCAGATGCGTAAGCCCTTCGCAGGGTGGTGAGGCTGGGTGAGAACTTTCTCACAGCCAGCTGTCCTGGGTCTGATTCATTAGTTTGAAGAACTTAGGTAAGTTGCTTAACCTTTCTGGGCCTCATTTTCCACATGTGTGTAATGGGGATATTGATAGCGACTGTCTTATGAGTTTGCAAAGATTCAGTGAGTCAATCTGGACCAAGCAATCAGTCCCCACACACAGTCCTTGTTGGTGATTATGGTGTGTTATCACTGCCAGAGAGTGGAAGAAACACCTAAGAGTATAAATTCTTGCAGCATAGAAACTCTGTCTTCCTAGGCTATGTCTTTCATTCAAGTACTATGACAAAGTTAAGAAGGAAAAAGCAAAATAAGAAAAAGAAGAAAACGAATCCCAAATCAAATACCCAACTCCCTAGTTGACCAGAAAAACCTTATAGCTGAGAATTCTCTTATTTGAGCAGCCTGAGCTTCTGCCCAATTCCAGGCTCATCGCAGATGACAGAGTATCCCCTGGAGTTTGAGCTGAAGCGCCTACTTATTGGCCTTGCAGTTAGCAAAGGATGAGATAGATACCAGTGCCCAGACAGGATTCCAGAGCCTTCCCGCTAGAGGGCGACATTGTCGGGGAGCCTGTCAGAACCTCTCTGGAGACAGGTCAACCTGGCTTCCAAGGCCCGATCTACAATGTGACCTTGGGTTCACGGTTTCACCCTGTGAGCCTCAGTTCTTTGCCTATAAATTGAGGACAGTGATATTTGGGTCTCAGTCCTGCCATGCGGATTAAGTGAAAACAATGTTTGTTAAACACCCTGTACATGGTTTCAATCAAAGGTGGCGGCATCATTATTCTAGGTGTTGCTATTTGCTGGGTGGTGTGTCAAGGTTAGACATCCAACAGGAACTGATACCTGTTGTGTTCTGAGTCCTAGCTCTGTCCCCAGGTCTGCCCTCCACTGCCCCTGAGAGGGACCTCTGGTTGCATGTGGCCACAGTGGAGGATGGGGCTGCAGGCTGGAGCTTGTGAATCTGAGTCCTTCTCTCTCTCTCTCTTTTTAATTTTGTATTGGAGTATAGTTGATTAACAATGTTGTGATAGTTTCAGGTGAAGAGCAAAGGGACTCAGCCGTAAGTGTACATGTACCCGTTCCCCTCCAAACTCCTCTCCCATCCAGGCTGCCACGTAACATTGAGCAGAGTTCTCTGTGCCGTACAGTAGGACCTTGTTGGTTATCCATTTTAAATACAGCCGTGTGTACATGTCTAAGTCCTTCCCTTCACTGACAGAGGATCAGAAGGGAAATCAGGCCGAGCTCCTTGTTCTCTAAAGCTTCTTTCTCCCAGCCTCATCCAGAACCAATTCTTCCACCATCTGCTTGTGACCCTGAAGCCCTTCCCAGGCCCTCTGGCACTAGATAGAGTTCATCATATATTAAATATAAGGGGAGACTGTGAAACAACAAGACTGTTTTTTTGGATAAAGAGCCAAAATTTATACATAAAAATGAGCCTTCTTTTCTTCAAAGGAGGCAGATACCTGGGAGGCTGTTTGCAAATTGAAAGCATTTTGTGAACTTTCCCCTTGGGTTCCTCCTTCGAACCTCTGGTGCATCCTTGCGCATGTACTCAGAGTTAATATGCCCTTTTCTTTTCAGAGCAGATTTCATTTTTGGAAATAGCCAAAAGATATTGGAGGCTGAGCCTGCTAAATAAAAAGGGTTAGTCATGCAGGATGATAGTAAAACATAATAATAAGGTTATGCTTAGAATTTATTGATTTACCTTTTTTGATGCCTTGTGTAATCTGGCCCTAAAACTGATGGCACAGAGATGGACTTCTGAACTAGCTTGAGCAAAGGAAGAGAAAGCGGAGTAAATTTCATCTTCCCAAGGCAAATGCTTTGATAGGAACAAAAGTGCCCATTTGGATGCAATGCATGTGATCCATTCATTTAAAAAGAAATGTGATCTTATGGCATTGTGGACACACATGTGGACACACATATTTCCATTATTTGTGAGTTTTTACTGGAATAGTTGCTGGTTTAAGAATAATGGCCTGTCTTTTGCATGCCCAAATTATTTGGATATTTTCATTCTCCCTTCTCCCCTTCCTTTCTTCCTCCCTTCCTCCCTTCCTCCCTCCCTCCCTTCTTATATTCCTTCCTTCCCTTTTAGGCATATGTTGAAACAATTAGACTAAAAGATGATGAAATACTCAAGGTACAAACCAAAGAAGATGGAGATGTCTTTATGTGGCTGAAGCATGAAGCTACTCGAGGCAATGCGGCAGCTCAGGTAACAGTGTGGTCCACTGTCTCGGAAACTTTCTCAGCCCTGATGGACCAGGTTACGCTGTGATAACAAGATATCCCAAGCCTAGTGACTTAACACAGCACCAGTGTATTGATGTTCACACTACTGGGGGTGCTGGCAGGGGCTGTGCTCGCATAGTTCTTTAGGAGCCCAGGCTAACAGAGGCGTCACCAAAATGTGTTTCCAAAGCCTTTGCCTCAGGGCCACCCTGTGACATATCGCAGCTGGCTCCTGACACTTCTGCTCAGATGGGGCACTTCTCACATTCCATCGGCCAGAGCAAGTCAGTTGATCATTCTTTTTAAATAATTTTATTTGTTTATTTATTTCTGGTTTTGTTGGGTCTTTGTTGCTGCCTGGGCTTTTCTCTGGTTGCCTAGAGTGAGGGCTACTCTCCAGTTGCGGTGTGCGTGCTTCTTATTGCCGTGGCTTCTCTTGTTGCAGAGCTTGGGCTCTAGGGCACGCGGGCTTCAATAGTTATGGTGCAGGGGCTTTGTTACTTCATGGCAGGTGGGATCTTACTGGCTCAGGGGTCGAACCTGTGTCTCCTGCATTGGCAGGCAGATTCTTTCCCACTGAGCCACCAGGGAAGCCCAGTTGGTCACTCTTGACATTGAGTGTAGTCAGACCTGCACCCTTTGGAGAGAGAGTCACAGTGTTTACGATCAGTCCCCAAACTCCATCAGACATCCTAGTGCCTCAGATATATAGGTATAATGATATAAATCATTTATACAGGGCAGTTCTTCAGGGTCTCTGTTTACGTTTGGCCAATCATCTGGTTTCTTTTTTCATATCTGACCTACCCTAGGACCCTCCCCTGTGTGTGTGACTGTTTCCAAGATCTATTGAGGCCTATGGGGTGGCCTTGGCATCACATATTATGGGGTGGTGCTTCTTCCTTTTTATCCCCAAGGAGCTTTCTGCACATGTGCAGTGTCCCTCTTGCCCCAAGAATGGGAAATATATGACCTCGTGATCCTTTACTCAAACAGGGTTTAGCCCCTCTCTTCCTGCCTTGTCTGTTATCTTAAGGTGTCCTCAGGAGACAAAGCCTGGCTATTTACCCTGTTTCTGTTGTTATTTCTGTTTCAATATGCAAACAGGAGGCTGGTTGTAAATATCTAACCAGCAGCCCACCTACCTCCTGTCTCAGGAAATGCAAACAGGAGGCCCGTAGTAAATGCCTAGCCTGGAGCCCATCTATCTCCTGCCTCATAGGGAGACGCCCTGACTGCCACAGATGTGCACAGGCATGCATGCCTTACACGGGGCCCAGAAGACAGGCAGTGAGTCCCAAAGAAGAGGGTGTTTCAAGAGAGGAGACAGTATGGTTGTTGATCCATCAGCACTGATGTGGGTATAGTACATTCATTCACATACACACACCCACATCCCCCTGACACACATCATTGTGTTAATAACTTGTATTTAACCCATTACACCTTCAGGGCTCTGGTCCCCAGTAGAAAGATAGCATGTGTCTACCTAAGTCTTGGTTCTCAATATAAAAACATTTTAAACTAGGTTTGCCTTACCCTCTTTTAAAGTCTCGTATGTTAAGTATTAGGGCTTCCCAGGTGGCTCAATGGGTAAAGAATCCTCCTGTGATACAGGAAACACAGGTTCAACCCCTGGGTCAGGAAGATTCCCTGGAGGAGGGCATGGCAACCCACTCCAGTATTTTTGCCTGGAGAATCCCATGGACAGAGGAGCTTGGTGGACTACAGTCCATAGGGTCGGGAAGAGTTGGACACAACTGAGCCACTAACCGCGGGCACGCGCACATGCGCGCACACACACACATATGTTAAGCATTTCACAGGAAAGTCATTGTTTTAAATTGCCACTGTCTTAAAGCAACGGTTGGCCCAGATGCTGTTCTGGGGCCAGCAAGGCGTGGCCAAGAACCCGGAAGCGGCTATCGAGTGGTATGCCAAGGGTGCCCTGGAGACTGAGGACCCCGCGTTAATATACGACTACGCCATTGTGTTATTCAAGGTAAGAATCACTCAATTTGTGCTGAGGTTGCAAAATTCCTATCAGATTTCCTGAGCAGTTTCGTGTAGGCGTGCAGGTAACCAGGGAGCCTGTAACCCAAGAACCTCAGAATCTGCTTCTGTCAGGCTGGATGGAAAGGGGTATTTGCTGAAAAGGCGGAGTCAGAAGCAGTTCTCTGGTCTTGTTTTTAATCATTAGTCTTAGGTTTGGCACCTGGATTCTCTTGGCTTTTGCAAACACTGTGGCATTCTGGAGGAGACACTCTTATTTTACAGAATGGTACATGGCTGGCAGCCCCCAAAGGTGCTGCAAGTTCTCTTATCAGGCAGAGCTATTGTTGAATTACAGCTGAGATGAAGTGCATGTTTGGCTGGATCCCAACAGTCTCTCTGATCAAGACAAAGATCTTGGTTTTAAGCCAACAGGAGAGCAGGGGAATGGGTGAGAAGACCATTAGCCCAGGAGACCGAAGATGGAGTTCAAATCCCTCCTCTGCAACCGGCAGCTGCATCCTTGGGCTTATCTGACCTCATGGGACACTGGTAATGACCACAGGTTGAGTGAAAGAACCTAAAGAAGGGACTCCAAGAACTGCAAAATGCTTTACAGAGTAACAGTAGTTTACTTCGACTGATGCAGTGCTTATTACCTGATGTACGTTCAGTCTTCAAGACAACCTTGCAAAGGTAGCTACCATGGTATATGATGATCTCTGTTTATGAGTGTGCTAAGAGAAGCTAAGAAAGGATTTGTAACTTACCCAAGGGTTTCCCAGATGGTGCTAGTGGTAAAGAACCGGGCTGCCAATGCAGGAGATTTAAGGGACACAGGTTCAATCCCTGGATTGGGAAGATCTCCTGGAGAAGGGCATGGGAACCCACTCCAGTATTCTTGCCTAAGGAGCCCCATAGACAGAGGAGCCTGACAGGCTACAGTCCGTGGGGTTGCAAAGAGTTGGACACTACTGAAGCAACATAGCATGCACGTACATGTACAAGGTTGTACAACTGGTACATTTCAGACCTGGGATTGGGATCCAGACAGTCTGGCTTCAAAGTCTGTGCTCTTCACTGCTGAACACAGAGACATCAATTCACCCACCTTGGAAAAATAAAAAGCTGTTGGCTCTACTAAGGAAAACCTTGGTGGCTTTGTCCAGGCCCAAAGGAGGCAGCTGCCCACAGACAGCAAGTATCTTCAAACAAGGACGTGGATGCACATGGCTGGGCTCATCCCCAGAACCACAGTTGTGGTCACTCACAGATTAACAACCATGACTCTTGCTACAGCTCTAGCCTTCCAAGCCTTAAAACATATTGGTAGTTATGGTTTCCAAGTTTAGAGCCCAGACTTTTTCTTTGTAGTTGTTAAATCAACATAGAAGTGGTTTGACTCTTAGCCATATGCCAATGTATTTGTGTATTTATGTAATACATGCCCATTCAGGGCTGACAAAATGCCAGGCTCTGCACTAGCTGGAGGGACATATGGATGCGTGAGCCACGTTTCTGACCTCTGGGTCCTCAGACACAGTCCTCTGGGGAAGACAGGACTGAGACAGGTACAGAGGAGAGACACCAGTCCACCGGAGATGGGGCTGGTCATTGCCTGGAGTGCGGAGAAGATAAAGGCATGACTCAGGCATTATTTCTGCCTACCAGGAGCTTGAAATCTAGAGAGAGAGCCAAAGATATAAATATATGACATGGGAGGTGACAAAATGTTTATTCAGGGTCTGGTTTCTGACAACTGGAGGTTTTTTTGGTTTTCCTACATTCTAAGTTGTCTCTGAGTGGGAGGAAGAAAACCCATTATCAACATCTTGAGAAAGATTTTTACCTCTGGCCAAAGGTGTCTTTAACTATTTTCAGTGTAAAAAAAACCCATGCAAAAAATGAACCTTCCAAACAGGAAGAAGGGCAGTGTGCACGTGGCTTATTGTTTTGTGTGGATATTTGGCTTACTGTATTCAAAAATGGTGCCACAATGGTGGTTGTAGTTTTTCCAAGACGGTCGAGTCAATCCCATTTTATATCCACCTGAGGATGGAGCTTGGACTTTGACTGCAGCAACTGTCCTCCATGAGTTCATCCAGTGAATAGTCGCCGAGCATCTGCTCTGCATCAGGACTTCATATTTTTCTTTTAACAGCTTCCAGTGCTACTCACACTTGTGCAGAGTATATAGTCTTTGTGCAAGAAATCATCCCACTTCTGATTACGTAATGACACTGGGAAATCCCTGGTCTAGAAATGAGAGTATCTTGAGTTCTGTTTGCAGATCTAACTAAGAGGCTTTGGGTTAGTCAGCCCCTGTGGGCCCCAGTTTTATTCCTTCCAAACAAAAAAGCTGGAGAAGATAAACTTTGAGTGCATCCAGGTTCTAACATTCTGTCATCCTGATTGTTCTGATGCTTTCTGCAAAGTACAAAAAGGTTGTCTCATTGCCCCGTCTAGTTACTGCAAATAGCCTTCACGTCCTTTTCTCTTTCCTCTTCTTCTAATTAAACGAAGTAATGGTCCACTTCTGAAAAATAGTTTCATCTTGCATCCTGCTTCAGCTCATCGGTTTTTATTAAATAGGTAAGTTAAAGTCGAGTAGAAACTCAGTGTATGTAATTTAACCTTTATTTGGATCCACCATTTTACTTTGGGTCCTGGAACTCTAAGGACAGATTCCGCAGCGTGTTGTTTTTGTATTCTGTAAGGAGACTGTGAATCATTTTACTTTCTCAGCATGGAAATGACAATATACAGGAGAAAACACAACATGGCAGTTATAAACCTGAGCTCTGGAGCCTGGGTTCAAATCCTGCCTCTGTTCCGCATTCACTGTGTGCTTCTGGGTTGGTTTCTCAGATGAGAATAATAGCAGCGCCATGGCTAGGGTCGGAAGGATTAGATATGGCAGGAGAGCTCCTGGCCTAGGGTAATTAATGCAGGGATGTTTGCTACTGCTGTCTTCATTACTCGAGCTGAGTATTTAAATAGAGTTAATAGCTGTAGTCATCGCAAAGCCCTCTGACATTATGTCACATGTGACCCTGTCAAGTGCTGAGTCTGAGACCAGGAGGACTCCGTGGGGCGTGGGGGTCAAAGACAGGCTCTAAGTGAGCTTGGAAGCATCAGGGTTTTCATCCAGCTCCTCTCACCTGCCATCTTCATGGTCAGAGCCATGTCAAGAGAGCCCTCAGCGACTCCTCCTGTCCCGCCCTTGGACCCACCGTTTTCCCACGCAGTCCCGCAGACACCCCAGAGTGGTCCCATGAAGCTCTGCTCTTATGACAAGAATCCCAAAGCTATTTCTCTCTTGACCCACAAACCGCGTCTGCTGGAAAAATTTGATTTTGCTGGAGGAAGCTTGTCGGTTGTCAGTGTCTGAAGGAACTGATTCTAAGGGATCTGATCTCTTTCACCACTGACCTTCCAGCTGTTTCTAAAGCCACAGAGATCCATCATGGGGACTCCCACGTGGAACTGGGATAACTGAGTTGTCCTAGCCTGATAAGTCTTGACTGTCCGACACAGATCAAGTGCTTTATCTGACTCACATGTTAGGTAATCTCCAGAAAAACACAACCAGAGTGACCAAACTCATTTAACCTTATTCATGGTTTCTCCCAACCGCACCAGTGGATTGACAAGAGTGTGATTTACTTGATGATCAAGTGGGGAATTTTGTATGATGCTAAACAGGAAGGGGGAGGTTTGTTGTCACTGTTCTGCAAATATACACAAAATGATGATGATGATGTAATAGCTCTGCATATGGAAATCTTCAAGATTAGGTTTTTCTTTGGGAAGGCCTGGGCTTTAAGGATCTTCTGTTGAACACTGGCAAATTGGTGTGATGGTTTTGCATGCATTCTTTTTTTTTTTTTTATCATTGCTGTTTTTTGTTGTTTAGGGTCAAGGAGTGAAAAAGAACAGACGGCTTGCCTTAGAGCTGATGAAGAAAGCAGCTTCCAAGGTAACACTTGTGCATATTGTCAGAGGGAAGCCTTTGCCTACACACACCCACCCATGCATTCACAAGTCTAGGAGAGTGAATGGCTAGCCTTCTGAGGAAGGTAGAAATGCAGTAGGGAGGGAGGGGTCGCTAGCATTGCAGCGATTGGTCATTTTTGAGCTACAACACATACACAGAAACCTGCACAATGGGGATGGCAAACTTCAAAAGGCGAACTCACTTTCCAGTCAATAGAATTCAGACCGATGTTTGAAGGCTAAAATTATAATCAAGGGCTGCCCTAATAACAAGCAGCAGCAGGGGCTCCTTGAAACTGAATGGATATAAATGCCAGTGAATTAGGGAAACCAAAAGCCTGATTCCTCTGAATCTTGAATCCTCTGGGTTAACCCTGTCATGCCAGTGCTCATTTCCTTCTCTGTGCTTTAATAAAAGGACTGTTTATCAAGTTTACTGCTGGGTTTAGAAATTATTTTCTTTTTGTCACTATTTACTCTTCAAAGTAGCCTTTAAGCCAACGAGTTTCAGTATTGCAGTACAGAATGGAGGTTGTAATATTGCTTGTGAGGGGATACACCGACACACATACACACAAGCAGGGATGCACAACATATCCCTATGTGCAAACACACCTCCACAATGCATGCACACTCATGTGCACACTCACATATGCATGCATACATACTTGTAAATAAATGGATTGGTAGAAACCTCTGTAACTCTACAACCTAGACAGAGTCCTTTATAGCCCTTCAGGCTCTTGAATGTACCTACATCCCAAGGCTGCTAATATTTGCCCTAACTACAAAGATTCCTAAAGTAACCATGCCACTTTTCCTTTCTTGCATGCTTTTTTTAGGAAGCTTAGATAGTCTATTTTTCTTGTAGACTAGGAAGTTGGAGCAGGTAGTCAGAGAGTCAAGAGGCTTTTTCTCCACCTGTGTGGTCTCAAGAGGGCACGTCACCCAGGAGACAGAATGGGCTGAAACACACGCCAGCTCCCAACTATAGTGCAGAAATAGAAAAGCTGCTTAATGTTGGTCATTGAGGGCATAGTTCTAGAGCAGCCTAAAGTGGGGCTTCCTGGCAGGTGTGAAATTTGCATCTCTTTAGCATGCTAGTGGTGAATTGTCGTCTAAGGTGCTTTATTCGGAGCGTGCTTTTAGCAGAGCTGAGATGAATATTAGAGGAAATGCAGTTTTATAGCCTGGAGTACTCGCATTCTTAAGAGTGTTACATGATTCTCACTCATCCATTTGGCAGGGAGTTATTAAGCCCTTACTCTTTGTCAGGCACCATGGTGAAGCACAGAGTTTGATGTCTGGAATTAGCTAAAAGTCACTTGAAGGTAAATCTGCAGATACAGCTGGAAATGTTCAGAATAAGGTGTGAGCATGAAGAAATAAAACAAGATTTCTTGTGGGGCTCCTGACCTGGGACCCAATACAATTTCTAAAGAAAGTTCTGCTAATGTTTTGAATGATGAAAGGTACCTTTGAGTAAACCTGTGCATATGGAGGTGAGCAGTACAGAAACCATTTTGATGTAAATTCCATAGGCTTATTCCAAAGCTGGTTCTTGCCACTTTATAATATGGCGTGGTCTGTCACTTCACGGAAATACATTCATCCTGCAACTTCTCAGGAGGCTGCCTTGCATCTGGTACCACCCGAGGCTCAGGAAGAATGTTTCTATGACTGATCCACAGCACTGATACTGTGCCAAGTGTCAGCTATCTTGAGGGCCTGTGACTCTGAGCACTACTCTCCATGTAGGATTTGGATTCTGTTTTGGGTGTCATGGGCATTCAAGGGATGGCTCTGATCCCTTGGTTCATTTCTCAAGTATTTATTGAGCACTTACTGTATGCAAGTACTAACACAGGTGCTTGGAATACAAAATAAAGATCCTTGCCTTCATAGAGCATCTATTCCAATGGGCTTTGGCAGTTTCTTTCTCTTGGTCTTCCTGGCACCTGGAGTCCAATGTAAAAACTAAAAGGGTTTCGGGAGCCCTCACAGATGAAAAGGCTGCAGGCTGGGATCTTGGCATCCATAGTTGAGGGACACCTGTTCTTCACTTCTCAAAGGGGAGGAGAAAGAGATTTTGTTCCACACTTGGACTCTTAACCTGTCTCACAGATGCAAGGGCACTCACCCTTTGCCTCTCTAATCCTTTTTTCACCTGCTTGTCCATGGTCTTGTTGATCTGGCAGGAGAGCAGGAATGAGAGACCCAAATGTCCAGGTTTGCACACTCACACCCCCGCAGGGTTCCTAAGCCTTCGACAGCCAGGCTGGAGGCTACCGTATAGAAGCAGGTGGGAGCACTTGGAGAGGGCGGAAGTGGGCCCCTGAGAGCATGAATCAGCAAGAACAAGGAGACTTGACACTAGACTCACAAGAACCAGCCCTTCTGTGGTCCAATCCCAGGTATAGACACAGCTCTGAAGCCACCTCCCTTCTCCGCCCCCTCCCCTCTGCCTCAGTCCCAGCCACACTCAACCTGTCTGCTAAGCAGACCCATAGCCCCTGAGCTTTACCCGTAGACCATTGCAGCTTCTTCGCTCAGATGATGTGTTGGTATCCAGTGCAGAGTAATCAGCAGACGGCTGGCAGGTCACCTAGAAATCAGCCCAGCCAGGGCATGTTCTGGCCTCCTGTCGCAGTTGAGTGCTTGTGAATTTCAAGGGCGTTGCTGATACTCAGGGCAACACAAGGCCTTCTGTAGACAAGGGCATTGCTAAACAGTCCACGGGGGCTGAGTGATGATTCGAGGCCAGCATTATGGCCAAGGTGGAAGGCAGAAATCCCGACAGCAGGCTGGTGAAGTCCTTCTGGGAAGACTTTGAGGTGGCCTCATGTTTTCTAGCACTTAGCATTTCTTTAATGCCATCTGGCCCCAAAAAGAGACAGGAAAGGTTTTTCTCAGACTCTGGCAGAATGCTTTCACAACAACTGATTCTCTTTAGAGAAATTTTCATTAAAAAAAAAAAAAAATTCATTTCTTGTTGTTCTAAAATCCAGGGGTTGCATCAGGCAGTCAATGGCCTGGGATGGTATTACCACAAATTCAAGAAAAATTATGCCAAAGCGGCTAAGTACTGGTTAAAAGCAGAAGAAATGGGGAACCCAGATGCCTCATACAATCTTGGAGTCCTGTACTTGGATGGCATTTTCCCAGGAGCTCCTGGAAGGAATCAGGTAAGCCTTGTGACCAGCTGTGCAGCTGGTCAGACACTTGGTCAGGAAGCAGGTGTATGCCCAGCCCAGTACAGATACCACCCGAGATACAGGTCATGAGCTCAAGGAACTTGAGGGCCCAGTTAAGAACACAAGAGAGTGAAGAGCAAAAACCGGCATTAGCCAAAGACTAAGTGTGTTCTAATCACTGTGACCCAAGCAGTTCTGGAAAGGGGCAATGGGGAAAGCCAAAGCAGTCAGGAAGGCTTCATGGAGGAGGAGGCTTGCGCTGGGGAGAGGAGTGGGAGATGAGGCGAGACGAGAATAAGAGAGATGGTGCAGAGATTGATCACTGATCTTACTGGAAGCAAAGAGGGCTGTGTCCAAAAAGGATTGCCAGGTATGAGATCGGATTTAATAATAGTAATGTAAATAGTAATGACAGTCTTCAGTGTTTGCTGAACACTTCCTCTGGGCCATATACTCTTAGATACTTTCTATGTGCCATCCCATGTCATCCTAACTCTACTCTTGGAATGCAAATGTTACTACATCCATTTAACAGAATAAGCGACCAAGGCTCTGAAAGGTTTCATAACTTGCTCAGACGTCAGACACTTAAGTGGAGTCAGGACCTGGTTCCCGTGCGAAATGGAAGCCCCTTGTTATTGATAATAATGTTAATGGTGGTAATAACAATCTGAACACCATTACAGTCAACGAATTAACTGAACACCCACCTTCTGCCAGGAACTCTTCCGGGCAGTGGTGGATACAGCAGCAGACAGAACAGTCTCTGCTTTGGGGAAGCTTATATTCCAGTGGGAAAGAAAGATGATGAGCAAAGATAGAGCATGAGGAAAAGTGAAGTGATATGGGGAGAAATAAAGCCGGATGAGGAGGACCCAGAAGGTAGAGACTAGGGGATGCTATTTTATAAGCGAGATCAGAGAAGGTCTTTCTGATAATGTGACCTTGTACAGACGCCTAAAGGAGTCTTGTGACTATCTGGGAGAACATTCCAGAAAGAGGGATCAGCAGAAGAACAACAGGGAGATGAAACTGGCGGGAGCTGAGAGCAAAAGAGGTGGCAGAAGAGATAAGGTCAAGGAGGCAGGTGCCCAGGCAGCTGCTCTGAGCAAGATGGGACAGCTCTGAACAGGGCAGGGATATGCTGTGTTGGAAAAGGCTCCTCCAGGGTCCGGATGGAGATGGGCTTGAGGAAGAGAAGAGCAAGAGCAGGGGCTTGATGCAACAAGGACCTACTGTAGAACACACGGAACTCTGTACTCCATGTTGTTACGTGGCCCGGATGGGAGGGGAGTTGGGAGGAGAATAGAAACATGCATGTGTGCGGCTGAATCCCTTTGCCGTCCACCTGAGACTATCACAACATAGTTAATCGGCTATCCTCCAATACAACATTAAAAGTTTAGGAAAGAAGAAACAGGGGATTAATGCATTGAATCCAAATGAGAATGGATGGGCAGTATCAGAAAGAGGGCTGAGATGTGAGTAGATTCTGGATCTGTTTTGAAGGTCAAGAGGACAGAATCTGATGGTGATTGGATGTGAGGTGTGAAGTGGGGAGAGGAGTCAGGCTGACTCCAGAGGGTTTGGCATTTATTGAGATGGGAAGAAAGGTAGTATTCAGACAGATGGGCAAGCCGTAGCAGCAGATTTGGGGTTGGGAAATGAGAGAATTATTTTTGGTAAAACATCATACCAAGCCTCAAATATCCATTATCTTATTTAATCTTCATGACAAATTTTCATGATAGCTACTATCAGAAGCCACATGTTTCCTCTATAGAAACTGACATGTAGAAACTTAGTTGGAAAGTTTAACTGACATGCTCATAGTCACGCAGTTAGTAAGGAGCAGAGATGGGATTTGAACCCAGGCCTGTTTGACTCCCAGTTCAGTTCAGTTCAGTCGCTCAGTCGTGTCCGACTCTTTGCGACCCCACGGACTGCAACACACCGGGCTTCCCTGTCCATCACCAACTCCTGGAACTTACTCAAACTCATTCCATCGAGTTGGTGATGCCATCCAACCATCTCATGGCATCATCGACTCCAAAGCCTTCGCTTAAAAATGGCAGTTAACTGCCTGGGGAAAAATAATGATAATCAGTGGCGCATCTACCTATTTAAGCATTTGTTTTCACTTTTCCCTCTACCTCTCTTTGACTACATAGGAGGCTGTGTATTTTTATGCATTGCAAATGTCTGTTAGCCCTCCCACACATCTGCTAGAATGGATTTTTTCATTGTCATATTCTAATTTTCACTTTCCTACTGGAACTGCAGTTTTTGCATCTGAGTTTGAAAAAAGGTATTAAGTGAGGTTAGGAAAGCAAATGCCTGAAGTTTCACCAGGTGTGACCTCTGCTTCGGTCTTCTGTCTGGCTGGCAGGGGGTTTATGTGAGGATACCTGGTGATAATGGCATTCCTAAGTTATCTTATTTATTGGGTAAACTTAACAGAATAGCTGCAGTCAAGGTTATCCTGTCGAGAAGCTTCTGTGATTGTCTTCCTGGAACTTGACTTGGTTTCTTAAAGATATCAGATGTTATGAGCCTATGATGAAATCACATGTTATGAACCCCACGACCTTAGCTCTGATGAAGCCTGCCCAGGAGGACGTCTCACTAATGACACCGACGTTTGCTCGTCTCTTTCCAGACATTAGCCGGTGAATATTTCCATAAGGCTGCACAAGGCGGACACATGGAAGGAACTTTGTGGTGTTCTCTGTACTATGTCACGGGCAACCTGGAGACGTTCCCGCGAGATCCCGAGAAGGCTGTTGTGTAAGAACTTATCAGATGCTGCTTGTCAAGGGAAAGCCGTATACTGTGTTCACCACGTCTGAGAAAATAGAGTTCTTTTTTCTTTTTTTTTTCATTTTTAAAATGTAATTTTTATCAGTTACATACGCACAAAAAGAGTCAAATTATTTGAGGAGGCAGAAATTTAAAAAGAATAATAATTTGACAAGAAAAATAGGAAGTCTCTATCCCCCTCCCACATACCATTTCCTGCTGCCTAGAATAAATCACTTTTCCTGTTTTATTAATAATTATTTCTCTTTTTATCTGCCTCTATGTCTAAATAACATGCTTAAACCACTATTTCTTATTATACTCACTACAGACTTTGTCGAATGATGTGTCACTGGGAAAAAATAAATTTATATATAGTTCTTTCACTCTGCCACTTCTAACTGCCCTGCATGGTCACACTTCCTACCTTCTCCCATCTTCCCCATGAGTACATCATCATTTTGCTTGGATTGGTATCAGGGTTCATATTATTGGATTTGCCAAAAAAAGTTCTTTTGGCCAACCCAATATTTTTACCATTTAATGCTATTCGTAGCTGACCATGTAGTGTGCTGTGTCTCCTCTTTCTTGCATAACTTTTTGTTTTCTATGGAATACTACTAATGATTATTATTTATTTGCTTATCTCTGTGTACTTGATATTCACGTTCTCCTTGTGTTGTCTAAATCTCCTCTCAGTATGTCTACACCTATCAGGTAACTCTGTTCATTTAATCTTCTTGGCAACATCTCTCCTCTTTGTTCAGGGAGAGCTGTCTTCCTGCTGTTGACTTGTTAGAATTCCTGATTAACATTATCTTTTTCCATACTGGTAGACTCTTTTCACATCTTTGTTTCAAAAAATGACAACTGTTTAGCATTCATTATAAAGGGCACTGAACTCAAGTGCTCCCAAAGTATCTCTCTTCCCCTTCTTAACATTCAGTTCCAACTTGTGGCTCCATAACAATTCTAACAAGCAAAATATTCCCCAAGTGAGATTTATTGAAATCACATGAAGTAAAAAGAAATTATTTAATTTGCCACAGTTCGGATATTTTCTCCTCTGTTTCCTTTATAGATGGGCAAAGCACATAGCTGAGAAAAATGGCTACTTGGGTCATGTCATTCGCAAAGGCCTCAATGCCTACCTAGAGGGCTCATGGTAAGTTCGCCTGAACTTTCTCCGTCCTCACCTTTCAATCTGTCAGTGTATTCTTAGGAGATGGAGTCTTAAAATGCAACTGAAAAAGCAGTTTGCAGGGAAATCACAGCCTCCTGGTAATGATATTCAGAGTATCACCGACTGATTGGCTGTTGATTAGAAAACATAGCATTTCCGTGTTTAATTATATGCAAAAATTAGTTCTCTAGGGGGAGCGTCCACATTCATCAAGTTGAGAGACACATGAATGCGCTGACTTTTCTTCCTTCGGCTCGTTCTACTTGGTTTCAGAGTCTGGAGACAGCATAGGCGATCCCTGCTGACCCTCTGCCTCTCACTGGCACGTCACAGCAAGTCCAGGATTTCTGTCTCGTTCGTGGGAAGGAGCGAAAGCAGTGTGTTTAGGGCTTAGGCTACGTTTTCCCTAGGATTGCTGGAAATCACTCAGCAGACCTCAAGTGTCACAGCCAAATAGACTCCGCCTCTCTCAGGATCTTCTGATGGAGTTAGCAAATCTCACCCTGTATGGAGAAGTGGGGTGAAACCGCACACATGAGGACCCCATTTCCAGTGACTTGATTTTACAAATATAAGGGCGCTCCTCTCCAGGATCTACCTGAGTCCATCTCTCTGTTCTCTGTTTTCAGGCCTCATGGTCCATCTTACTTTTCTCTGGGCTACATTTGTGTGCTTGTTTATTGCCTAAATGATCTGGATATTTCCTTAATAACTAAAAGGCAAATGCCAATCAGCACACATCCTATTGGTCCACCACCTCAAAGACATTAGAGCAGCCCTATCACTGATTGTGCTCTGATCTGAACTTTAATTAAAAATTAAAATATAAGTCCCAAAGAAGGCCATTTCCTTCTTTGGTTCATGGGTGCCCAGGTAATCCACAGATAGCATCTCAGTGAATGAGAATCTCAAATTAGAAAATGCAGGCAGGGACTTCCCTGGTGGCCCAGTGGCTAAGACTCTGTGCTCCCAAAGCAGGGGGCCCCCCGGTTCAATCCCTGGTCAGGGAACTAGATCCCACATGCTGTAACTAAGATCTGGTGCAGCCAAATAAATAATTACATGTTTTAAAAAAAAAAGAAAATGCAGGCAAAATGGGCCACGTGAAAAAAAGCACTGAATAAAACTGTGTATTAGTATCATCTTGTAAAAGTTTATCATCTGTGGCTTCACTTTGCATAATGAGAAAGAAATTTTTTTAATGAAATGATCTTTTCCCAATTGATACACCTTACTATTTGTGTGCTGTTTATCTTTTTTCCCAAGTAAACTTCAATTTCTAGAACTTTCCAGTTTGACCTTAGCTCATTTCTGCTTCTCAACCTCCACATTTCCCATCCTTTGCTCCTGACAACTTCTTTGGGAAACTAAGCATTCAAACATCAAAATGTTTCTGTTCGGGGTTTTCCCAAAGCAAGAGCACATATGTAAGCACCCCTAGTGCACACACACACACACACACACACACCCCAAGATGTCTCACACTTTTTCCCATAAAGAGGGTATCTGCTTAGCTTTCTTGCCGACTTTTGAATTTAACATCACAAAGCACTTCAGGGAGCACATTTAAAAATTTTCTGTGAAGGTCAAGAGGGATTAAGCTGTGGTGGCCTGCTTTCCTTCTTAGACTATTCAGCCTCATTACATGATTGATTTGGGGGCAGTGGGGGGAGGGCGGTGGATTAAGTGTGCTCTCCACGGTTAGTGAGTTTGGGTTCAGTTCAGCAGATTTTCCTGAGTACATTTAAATGCAGGGTGCCATAGCTGCAGGGGATGTCACAGGTAAGACTGGGGGCAGTTCACTGCCTCATCTCTTCCTGGTGCTAAACTGCCTGCTGTTTCTCGGGTGGCCCATATTCTCTCTGACCCCTGGGCCTTTGCACTTGCTGTTCCCTCTGCCCAGAGGTCCTGCCTAACCCCTTAGTCCCTTTGTCCTTGCATGGGTCATCATGGCTCTTTACTTGTTGACTGCCCTGTGTTGTGTATCCCAGTGCCTAGTACCTAATGGCTTCTAGGAAGTACTCAGCAACTACTGAGAGAATGATTTAAGACAAATAGACAGAACAACCATCACTCAAGAGCCATGAGCAGTATTTGAAGAGCATCAGGGATTAGGAGGAAGAAAAGATGCAGCCTGGTTGGGGACTTAGTTCAGCCTTTATAAAGGAAGTAACACCATATGGCCTCGAGGGACGGGTGGAATTTCCAGCTAGTCATAGTACTTCTATGGGCTTCCCCGGTGGCTCAGAGGGTAATGAGTCTGCCTGCAATGCAGGAGACCTGGATTCGATTCCTGGCTGGGAAGATCCCCTGGGGAAGGGAATGGCAACCCACTCCAGTATTGCCTGGAGATTTCTGTGGACAGAGGAGCCTGGTGGATTACAGTCCTTGGGGCCGCAAAGAGTTGGACATGACTGAGTGACTAACACTTTCATAATAATGAACAGGATCACAGAAAGCAAAGAAATAGGAGAATTCTGAATGTGGCTAGAAATTTTTAAGCCACCCAGTTTGCCTTGAGGGTAAAATTCGTAAAAGGAAGTGGTATATGACAAGACCAAAGAGGTGCTGTGTTATGGGATTTTGAATAGCAGTTATATAGTTTTTATTTGGTTTGTCCAGTAGTGGGGAGCCAACAAGGGTTTGGGGAGAGGGTAGTGACGTGACAGAGGTGGGTTCTGAGATGCTTAAACAAACAGCTGCAAATGTGGTGAAGAGAAGGGAGACTGAATGGGGGAGTTAGTTCAGAATCCAGTTTAAAGGAGCTGAGCTTTTGAGCTGGAGCTGCGGCCTGAGCCAGGTAAGTTGTTTCCACTTCTTTTATCACTCAATAATTGTTGCATACCAATAATATGTAATATGTATGTAAATATGTAAGTTCCAAAGTGAAAGTCACTCAGTCGTGTCCGACTCTTTGCTACCCCATGGTCTATCTGGTCCATGGAATTCTCTAGGCCAGAATACTAGGGTGGGTAGCCTTTTCCTTCTCCAGGGGATCTTCCCAACACAGGAATCAAACCCAGATCTCCCACATTGCAGGCAGATTCTTTACCGGATGAGCCACAGGGCAAGTCCAAGTTCTGAAGCATAACAATAAAATGAACACCTGTAACCCTACCATCCTGTTTAAGAAAATAGACCATAGAAACCCCCTGCATGTTCTTCCCAGATGAAACCCACCCCAGTCCCCAGGATCTAGAACTAACCACTTCGTGAGTCTTTTGTCCCTTTGCCCCTTGCTTGCTTTATAGTTTTGCTATATGTGGATATAATCCTGAGCAATAGATCTGACTTGTTTCTGAGCTTCATATCATTAGAGTCATATCATATGCAATTCTTCATAAATAAACATCATGCTTATTTAACCTGATATTTCTGGGATGCATATCTTTGGATACATGTAGGTCATTTACTTTCACTTCTGTCATATACTGCAATTTACTTACCAGTTCTCATATTAACACATATTTGGGTTCTTTCCCTTAAGAACAATGTAGCCATGCACATTTTTATGTATATCCTAGTACATGTAGGAAGAATTTATCTAAAAATACACGCTTCGGAATAAGGTCACAGGCTAGCCATGTGTTCAACTTTACAAGACAATGTCAACTGTTTTCCAAAATATTTTACCCACTTACACTCCTGTCAACCCCATATAAATTTCTGTTTCTTCATATCTTTGTCAGTTCTGATGCTGATGCTAAGTATTATTAAAAATATGACTTCATCTGGACTTGAGACCTTTTCCTACTAACAGGAAGAAAAACCTAATACCCATTACAGTGGGAGTATCTTTGTCAAAGTATATTTGAGACAAAGAGCTTTTCTCTTTTCCTTCTCTCTGAGCTTCCAAATGCCTCAGGGGTTAAACAGGAAATGTATGACCATTGGCCTCCTCACACCACAACGTGGCATTTTTTGGGGTCCCATCTATTTTGCTGTAATAGAACTAAATCATCCATCAATGTCCCAAGTTCACCTCTTTTTTCATTTTTTTGTGAGTGCATTTATTCTGGGCATTATTTTCAAATCACATGTGTCAGTTTGATGAGCTTGTGCTTTTCTGTGTTGTTCTGAGATTTATATGGGATAGTTTAAAAGTGGAGCATGATTGAGAAAAGGGCATTTTGCTGCTTAGGCAAAATACGGAAGATAATGCTGTCATGCCTGAGGCTATCCTTGGACACCAGGAGAAGTCAGCTAAGGAGAGCTCACCTGTCGTGTTTCATTTCTTTCCCGCAGACCCTGCTGTGTGTTTTATCTGTGAGCTATGTGTTTTATTGTCCTTTGTCTTAACTATACCCCCCAAACACTTAACCCAGGAGGTTAGCCAGATTCTAGTAAGCTTGAGGCAAGACAAGCAGGCATGCAAGATTCCTGTTGAAAGAGATGCGTCTTTTTGCCTTGGAGCAGGGTCCTAAATTCTGCTGAGACCCCAGGATTTTTACTTCCAGTTTGGACTGCTTCAGGCATTGGCAGAAAAGAATCCAGAGAAAATAATTGGATTGTTTGAGAAACTGCTCAGAGAAACTCAAATTCACAGTTCACAGCAAGCAGCCAAAGGATTGATTATTAAGATGTATCATTATAAAAGTTCTATAAATGGATGTGCTGTGTCTGAAGTGGGAGGGTAGCAAATGTGCCCCTACACTCGCTCTTTGATCTGCTTCTCTCTGCACCCCCACCCCAGTCTCCATCAGAATGACTGCCTGGGTGACTAGTTCACTTTACCACGTTGGAAATAAGGTTGGACACCCTGAACAGCTTCCTAAAGCTTGAGGAAGTTCATGGAAGGATAGTACAGATTTCCGGCTTGTCTCTGGGCCCCCTACACAGAGAAAATACTGAGTAAATGTTTATTCTGTGAATAGAAGGACAGAAATATCTGTATAATTAACACTTTCAGGCAATCTCAGTTGAGGCACATGTAAGAGCAAAGTCCTGGGAAGCTGAATGTAGATAGGGTTTCTGCAGAGGTGTCCTGACTCTGAAGTCGTCACAAGTTGAGAAAATCTGGTCTTCAGTGTTCTGACACTTGCCTAGAGTTCACTCTTCAATATATGAAAATGGATGGTGGTGGTTTTGGATTCCATGGCTTCTGTAAAATGGAAGACAGAGGTGGATTTCTGTCAGTACTTTTACTTTTTTTTTTTTTTCATGCCACTGGGCGTGTGGGATCTTGGTTCCCTGACCAGAGACTGAATCTGCGCCCCTACAGTGGAAACGCAGAGTCTTAACCACTGGATCTGCAGGAAGTCAAAGTTTTTAGCCTTCTTTTTGATGGTTTCAGTGCTTCCTCGAAGTATACGCTTGAGAATTCTGTGAAATTTCCTCCTGGCATCTACTGACACAATAATTGGTCAGTGGAAAATTGTTGTTGTTGTTTAGCTGATAAAGTCACGTCTGACTCTTTGCAACCCCGTGGATTGTAGCCCACCAGGCTCCTCTGTCCATGGGATTTCTTAGGCAAGAATACTGGAGTGGGTTGCCATTTCCTTCTCCAGGGGATCTTCCAGACCCAGGGACCAAACCTGCATCTCCTGCATTGGCAGGCGGATTCTTTACCACTGAGTCACCTGGAAAGTCCCAGTCAGTGGAAGTCTTCCTATAAAATGTGTTCCTCTCTTCCCTCTCCCACCACCCAAGTAACTTTAGAGACAAGGTAACGTCTTTATAAAATTTATCATAGTGACTTTGTTTTTACAGGAAATGTCAACCTGTGTACCCTGCTCCCAAATTCTAACAATCTGCCCAACCACTGTCTGAGAAAAACTCATTTTCTTACATTGTAGTAATATGAGCCCTCTTCCATGAAGGCAGGGAGCCCACATGACGTCTGACCTTGGGCTGGCAACCCTACTCCATCTATTTCCCTCATCCATCCCTGGGGGAAACTGAGGCACTGATGCAAACCTGAGTGTTGGAGATGATAAGACCTTTGGGATGGGACCTTATTGTAGGATGGGACTTGCTGCTGAACCTTCCTCGAGGGTCCTCCATCTAGGGCCTGCTCTGAGGATTCTTGTCACCAGACATGATTCAAGGCTATGTAAGAAAACGCCTGGGGCTTTTTGTGTTGTTGCAGTCGTAGTTGTGGGCTTGTTACGTGGCTTGTCTACACTCCTTACATGGCTGCTTAGCCAGCCTTATCTCTTGAGCATGAGTCATGCCTAATTGGTCAGCTGCCTTGGGTATCTCGGAGGCCAGAAATCAGCACACTCAGCAGCCATGACCTGGGATGTCTGATTGAGTCTGCCTGTCCTAATTTGAACCCCCAATCATCTCTGTCTGTCCCCATGGGAAGGCCTGCCAGGAGCTGCTTTAGCCATGTAGAAAAGATGACCTCCTGGGACTTTCTCGGGGGTCCAGTGATTAACACTTGCACTTCCACTGCAGGAGGCACAGGTTGGATCCCAGGTTGGGGAACTAAGATCCTGTATGCCATGAGGTGTAGCCAACAAAGGAAAAAAATGACTCTGCCTCCAGCCCCTCTCCCCGCCCTTTCTTAAACAGTTCTGAGATGGAGCTAAAGTTAACAAAGAGTTCTTAATGTCAGCCACTGAAAATGAAAAATAAGCTTTAGAAACAACCATGTATAGTTAAAATTTTAACTTATGAAAAGGGTAACACAGAAGAAAATGGAGGAAATCAGATAAGTTAAAAAAAAAGTCACTTGCAGTCTCAGCACCTAGAGATAAGTACTGTTAGCGTTTTGGTAGGTCATTTTAAGTAGTTGTTTTTTCTCTGCATATGTATGTCCATGTGTGTACTCAGTTTTATATTTGTTTTGCAAAAATGAGATTGCACTGTTTTTTATCCTGCTTTTCTCACGCAATGGAAAATTTGGCATAGACACCTTTCTACGATTTCAAATGCTCTTCTTCAACATCACTTTAATGATCTCTTCTGAAAGTGGCTGCACCATAGGTTAACTGAACTAGTCACTGATTTTCAGATATTTGTGGGGTTTTTGATGTTGTCATCATTCATATACACAGATCTAACATGAGCTCTATTGTCAGAGTCTTTGCATATGTTTCTGATTTTTTTAATTTATTATTTTTCTTTTTTAAAATTAATTTATTTTTTATTGAAGCACAATTGCTTTACAGAATTTTGCTGTTTTCTGTGAAACTTCAACATGAATCAGCCATAGGTATACATACATCCCCTCCCTTTTGAAGCTCCCTCCCATCTCCCTCCCCATCCCACGCCTCTAGGTTGATACAGAGCCCCTGTTTGAGTTTCCTGAGCCACACAGCAAATTACCGTTGGCTGTCTATTTTGCATATGGTTCTTGGAATAAACCTTCATGAGGCAGAACTGTTGGGCCAGGTGGTATGTACATTTGTAAGGCTCTCACATTTAACAATTGCATTAATTGGCTTCCCACTAGCAGTAGTTAGAGAAATATGTCCATTTTCCCCAAGCTCTTGCTGTTATCCGGATTATGAATCGGGTGCCAATCTTTCAACAGATGACAAGTGGTCTCATTGTTTTGCAATTATTCAATTACCAGTGGTCTTGAATACTTTTTTTTAAATATGTTTTTGACCATTGGTATCAAGCCCCTTGTAAACTGCCTCTCCTTTGCCAAACTTCTGATGTACCACAAAAGCTCAGCTTTAATTAAGCTTGTTCAGAGTCCTAAGCCTCATAAAGCCCTTCACAAAACAGGACTCGAAAGCACAGAGCTTTTTCTTAATACCACTTATCTCCTCTAAGCGAGGATGGAGGATGGAGGATGGAAGGATTTCAAGGACCCAAAGCTGATAGGCAGCTCCCCAGGCAGCACGCAACGAGTTATTCGGCCAGTAGATGTCGCTGTTGTATCAACCCGCTCCCCAGCCTTATCTGAGTTCAGCCTTTTAAGATAGAAAATAAATCAGCGCATGCAGTATTTTTAACAACAGTATTTATTAAAAAAAAAAAAAAAAAAACTCATGATTTTGTGCTTTTAAAAAAAAGTGCTTATTTTTTGCCCTCTTATGTGTGAATATAAAGCTCTCTGTGAATATTAGTAGGAGCCACTATATGAAATTTATTATTAATCATCTATTTTTAGGCACGAAGCTTTGCTGTATTATGTTTTAGCAGCAGAAACTGGAATTGAAGTGTCACAGACAAATTTAGCACACATCTGTGAGGAGAGGCCAGTAAGTAAATGTATTCTCAGACTAGCAGCTCTGAGGTTAAGGATACTGAATTGGGTTTTATGGAGGCAAAATCAGTCACTTGGCCAAAATATTAATGAGTTAACTTTTTCTCCCCCTTCGTTCCCTTAGGACCTGGCCAAGAGATACTTGGGTGTTAATTGTGTGTGGAGATACTATAATTTCTCTGTTTTTCAAATCGATGCTCCTTCATTTGGTATGTATAGAGAAACGGGTGCTAAATTGAAGCTTTGGAGGCTTTTAATCTTTAGTAACAGGGAACATCTAACAGCTTTGTGTGAAGTGTGATATTTCTAAACAATTAAGAAAGAGAGTGAAAAATCTCAGCTATTAAGATCTTGCCTAAACTCGGCTCTCAATCTCAAGCAGTGCATTTCTCTTCATCCATCGTCTACTGAATGCTTAGATCCACCATTTTCTAAGGAGTCAGTGAGAATTCATAAGAGAAAGCTATTCTGGAGAGTCCCTGGGCCGCTTACCCCTTTGCCCTCAGATGGATTCCCTGTCCATCTGGTTATGCTCTGTGTGATAGGAGGCTGACTCTCAGGAACTGCAGTTCCCAGACCCCTTTGCATCTGATTAGTTTCAGCCAATGGGAGGGGCACACAGGAGATTTCAGGGCGGGAGGAGGGGAGAAGGCCAACCATTTCTCCACTTCTGTGTCTGCTTTGGGCTGTATCTCTGTCAAAGGCTGCATTTCCATGGTCCCAGCTCCTGCCTGGCAGTCCATCCCCTGTGGCCTCAGCTGGCCCCTGGTTCTGGGGAGGTTGTAGCTTCCTGCATTGCTAATCTCTGGGTTGCCTACTCTTTCCCATTTGCCCTTTCAGCTCTTCCAACACCCGTAGCCAGTTGCAAAATCCCAGTTTTGAATGGTCCAATGTGGATTGTTTTTCTGATTGGACATTTAGAGAGACATACACTCTTAAAATTTTTCCTTAGAGAAAAAATAAAACATATGGCTTAAACAGAGTAAACACATGCTCATCAATCATCAAACCCAGGCAGCGAAACCTTGATACCCCAAACATCCTTGGCTGATTGGACTGATTTTCACTGGGTAGTCTCCATGTAGGAGAGCTACCCAGCCAAGCAAGAAAATGTGTCCAGAAATGGAGGTGCTCAGTGAAAAAACCATTTTCCGCCTCCTAACAGCAAGGAAACCTAAAGATGTATCTGTATTCAGATTCTAGTGGAAAAAATTTGAAGTAATGCAAATGAGTCATTCTTCTAAAATATCGCTCTGATATCAAACCATTTGACAAATGGACCTGTAATTCTTGTCCTGCAGCATATTTGAAAATGGGAGATCTTTACTACTATGGCCACCAAAACCAGTCACAAGACCTTGAGCTGTCTCTGCAGATGTACGCCCAAGCAGCGCTGGATGGAGACTCACAGGTAAATAGCAACAGAAATGAGCTCCTGGTGGTGCTGGTTCCTGAGGTTGAAAATCCACTTCTCATTCATTTTCACGAGCCCCTCACAACCTCTCTGAGGCCACTAACCAGCATGGTGAACTTTTATCGAGCACTTACTATGTTTCCCATGCCATTCTCATAGCAATCTTGTGGGAATGGGGGTCAGTGGACCTATTTTATATTAAAGAATGCCAAGATTGTGACAAGATGATAAGATGCTCAAGGCTAAACAACCAGGTAATAGATGAAGCAGTCAGAGTCTAAACCCAGGTCTCCTGACTCCAAACCCAGGAGTCTTTCTATCAGATTCCATCAGACTAACTCACTAGGTAGAAACTCAAGCAACTGCAAGTGGTCAAAATGGGAAGGAGTTTACTTATATAGCTGGGTCAGTGCTTTAGTGATAGGACTTTATTCTCAGTGACCTTTTTTTGGGGGGGAGGGGGGACTTCTTATTTTGGAATATTTGTAGAGTTATAGAAAGGTCACATAACCATAATACCATTATCAAACTAAGAAATTAGTGTTGACTCAGTACCAGTAACTACACGGCAGAAATTATTTGGACCTCACTACTTTTTCCACTAATGTTACTTTTGTGTTCCAGGATCCCACACTGCATTTAGTTGTCCTATTTCTTTAGAGTTCTTCCATCTGGGCCCATTCCTATCTTTGCTTGTCTTTCATCACCTTGGTACATTTGAATGTTGCTGGTCAGATATTTTGTAGAATGTCCCTTGATTTGTGTCTGTCTCCTGTTGTCTCCTGAATATATAGAGTTTATCCACTGGGGCAAGGATAGCCCAGATGTGATATGTCCTTCTCAGTGTATCCCATGAGGCATGCGTGATGTCTTATTACTGGGGAAGTTGATCTCATTCACTCAGTGAAGGCGGTTTCTGCTGGGTTTCTTCCCTGTAATGTTAATATTTTTTTTCTCTTTCTAATTTATAGATATTTTGGGAAGGTAATTTGAGACCATGCAAATATTCTATTTCTCCTCAAACTTCTGCCCACTGATTTTAGTATCCTTCAGTAAATCTTGCCTGTAACAACCAATTGTGGTGTGCTGATGATAATTTTCTGTTTCTCTCATCCCTTCTATATTTGCTAATCAAAATGCTCTTGTAAGGACCTCAGGGCCATTTCGTGATGGAAGTTAGAATAGCTGTTACTGTCTTATGCCACAGATTTCCAGTGTTGTGATTTGTGATCTGATCACAGAGCAAAAGTTGGGAACATTCCTATCTCAGTCTCTTTTTTGGGGCCATGCCACTCAGCTTTTGAGATCTTAGTTTCTAAGTTCCCTGATCAAGGATTGAATCTGGGCCCTTGGCAGTGACAGCACAGAGCCCCAGCTATTGGACTGCCAGAGAATTACCATCTCAGTTTTTTTTTTTTAAAAAAGGAGGTACTATGTTCCTTTTACCCATATCTCTGTCACTTCACAGTTATTTGGACATAGAAAGTCACTGAAGTACTGAGTCTTGATTTTCTAAAGTGTGAATTGAGGATAAAAAAAGCATCCAAATCATAGGTTGCAAAGATTAAATGAGATGCTAGATGTAAAGTGCCGAGCCCATCTCTGAGTATGCTCAGTGGAAATGATCTAGCCTATGTTATTGTTATTTTTTCTGGAATAAAGTAGATTTTGGTGCTAAAAGGATTTTCTCTAGAGCCAAACTCCCCTAAATGACATCTGTTGTTACTCAAAATCAGGCCTGGACCTATTTTTTTTTTTTCAATTCTGAGTTTTTGTTTTTCAAAAGGTAATGATATAGAAACAGTAAAAAATAATTTTTAAAGAGAAAAATATTAAAGAATACACCCACAATTCCATGTCAGGGGGCTTTATTCCTTTGGTCTTTTTTTTTTTCAATTCCTTCAGTTTTCATGCCTTTCTGAGTCCTGGCTGCAGGCCAGTGGGTCTCTGCAATGGTAACTAGAGCACATCAGCCACTTGAAAAATCTGCTCCTTCTCACATATTGCAGGAATATGTACATCCTATTGACTAATCTCTGTAATTATTACTCTTAACTACTGCCCCATATTCTGTTAAGCTGATAGAATGTAATTTATTAAGTTTTATCTTTTCATGGACATTTATTATATCTTGTTCACTAATTTATTGATTGATTTGACACATGTTTATGTAGTCCTGCCGTGTCTTAGACACTGCTTAGTGGTGGGGGCACTGCATTAAAAAATAGACAATATTTTTGTCTACTAAGGAAGTCTATTAAGGAAGATGTGAAGGTCATTTCCTATTGCATTGCAAGTACTACAATGAACATGTTCTTATTTCTACCTTTTACCTCCATTTGATTAATTTCTTTATAATCTGAGAAATGCTATTACTAAGTCAAATAGTCTAAATTGTTTTATAGCTCATAATAATAGTATATTGCCGATTTGCTTTCTGAAGTTGTTTCCCAATTAATACATCACCAAGCAGTACTTAAGTATAAGAGGATAACGGAAATCACATCAGCACTGGATGTTTTCACGGCTTAATTTTGCTAATTGAATAATACAAGTTGATCCTTCCTTATTGTTTTAAATTGTCTGTACTTGACCACTGCTGGGGATGAACACTTTTACATATACTTGTCTATGATCATTTATTTACTCTTCATATTTTCTTATGTGAATTCTCTGTTCTTACTCTTTGTCTGCTTATCTATTGGAGTTTTGATATTTTTCAATTTAAATTATAATTAGTTCTTTATACATTTGGCCAATAGATAGTGAATTTTAAGCTATTACATTGCATATAAATATTTCCCTAGTCTGTTTTCTCATTTATTTTAACCATGTTATTTTTCCATTGTTCAGAGACTTTAAAATTTTATAAAGTCATTTTATTCTTTTCTTTTAATACCTCATTTTAAGAGGAGCTCTCTTTCAAAAAGTGAAAAAATTGTCTGTTTTCTGCTTGTGTGTGTGTGTAAAATCTAAAGATACCTAATACCTATAACTATTAAGAAGTTATTTGTCAGCATAGTGGAGCTTAACATTTGGGACTGTGAATTCTGTCTGCTTGCATTTGAATCCCCTTTCCAGCTATATGACATAGGGCAAATTCCTTAACCTTTCTGTGCCTCAGCTTCCTAGTAATAGTAGTATACAGGGTAATAGAGCCTTTCTTGATTTGTTGTTGTGAGAATTGAGTTAATATATAAAACAGAACAAAGCCTCATATACAACAGCACTCAGAAAATGCTGGCTCTGTTATTTTTATGATGGTCATCACATAGCATGCTTATGAGACTCTTGCTGTTTACAAACCAAGGGTTGGTGATTTTTTTTTTTTAGAATCAACTAAATGAAAGAAAAGGGAGGATATAAGTCATTAAAGCATGACTTAATTCTTTGAAGGGCAACAACTCACTGGACTCTGTAAAGCCCTAATGATAAGTAATACATCATTGTTTATTTTTTGGTCTGGCCACGTGCTCAGTTCATGATGGATGGTGCATCTCCTCCAGGAACTATAATAGTTGTCATTCTTTATGAAGCATCTGAACCATCAGGCTCTTAACTGTGTGATTTTATTGCACCTGCACAGCCTAATATGGTCGTTCCTACCTCTGTGGGTCAAGAAGAAGATGTTTAATAAGGAAAAGGTAGGGAAGCATGCAGGAGTAGAGGGTTTGTGCCAAGAGGAATCAGAAGAGGAGATTTTCCTCACTAGCCTAGGAGAGATGAATCAAACACTCATACATGATTATGTGCATCGGAGACCCTCTCCACTTAGAACATCAGCCATGAGCGCCACCCACAGCCACAGTTTGTTCGATTTCTGACATGCTGATGGTGACCCAGGGTAGTAATGTAATGACGGACATTGCCTTTGACTCAGTGTTCTGGTTTTGTTGATAACTCAAGGGCATGTTTTCCAGCAAGTTCTATCTTGAGAGAGTGAGCAGGAAAGGACAGATTCCCCCGGTTGACTGGCTTCTGAGCAGATGGGACACTGCAGCCTCTGAAAGCCTCCTGGTTCTCCTGCAAATAAGTTTCTCAGATGCATATATTTAGGGAAGCAATTCATCAACGAAGACAACAAAGCCATCTGGCTCTAAAGACAGGAAAAATCCAGAGGTTGTAAAAGTTTATATTCTGATGAGTGTATGTCTAAGTTTTATTATAAGGAAAGAATGAGTTTGGTTTGTGGCTTGTTTTCAGGGATATTTTAACCTGGCCCTGCTAATAGAGGAAGGTGCTATAATCCCACATCATATTCTGGATTTCTTGGAAATTGACCCAACAATCCATTCTAATAACATCTCCATCCTCCGGGAACTGTATGAAAGGTGAGTTCAGAGCCTCTTCAGTACTATGACTGCTGGAGGAACCCATGTGGGTAGTGTTTGCTTTTTGGCTAAAGTTATCCTTATTCTTATTTTCTAAAGTATTAGTGTTAGCTGCTCAGTTGTGTCCAACTCTTTGCGACCTCATGGACTGTAGCCCACCAGGCTCCTCTGTCCATGGAATTCTCCAGGCAAAATGCTGGAGTGGGTCGCCATTTCCTTCTCCGGAGGATCTTCCTGACCCAGGGATCGAACCCTAGTCTCCTGCACTGCAGGCAGATTTTTTATTGCCTAAGCCACCAGGGACGTGCCCCTTATTTTCTAATGTCAGCAGTTATAGAGGGCCCAGGATTTGCTTCGATTAGAGGGCACACAGCTGGACCCAAACTTAATTCCCCTTTCTAGTACCTGAGGACTGAGATACAGAATGTGCTTGATCTGAAGTTAAAATGCTGACCCAGGTTTTCCATGAGAGTGGAAAAAATAAAGTGTCCAATTAGATGATGCTCTTCTGCAGATAGAGAGGTATCCCTGTGTCTGGACTTTGGACAGACACTCAGACAAAAGTGTTGCTTGGCAGTCTCCATACTGCAAAGCCTTCCTTGAAATGTCTTTTTATAAGTGATAAGACTGACCTTTTCTGAGATTGTTCCCTGGGTGTCTAGTATTTCCATGTAGCTCAGACTCCTCAGAACTGCTTTATTTCTTTTTCCTCTCATCTTACATGTGCTCATTTGACCCAAAACAGAAGGACATGGGTTTGAGGATCTGCAGATATTGGCAATGCTACCAGCGTCTTCCAACATTGTCAGGATGCCCTGTGCTGTTTGTCTGCAGGTGCTGGAGCCGTAGCAATGAAGAATCCTTCAGCCCCTGCTCCCTGGCCTGGCTTTACCTTAACCTCCGGCTGATCTGGGGCACTGTCCTGCACTCTGCGCTGGTAAGAAACCATCTCCCCCGAGCCCTGCCCTCCTGGTCCCTGCCTTCTGTCAGTCATCTGACATCTGCTTCGGATGTTTGCAGATCTACTTCCTGGGAACCTTCCTGCTGTCCGTATTGATCGCCTGGACTGTGCAATATTTCCAGTCTGTCTCAGGTAAAGATTTACAAAAAGCTGGGGCCATATATAAAAAAGTAGTGATTCTTTTCCCTACTAGAAAAATGACACTTTTCCTCCTTGGCCGTGCTGTTGCCTTTCGTTAGGAGGATCATTCACGGAGTGATGGTTACCCCTAGGGCTATATGGTAATCTCTGGCTGATGGAAGGCTCCAAGTATTGTTATATTTTTCAAAGTAAGCAAGGATTTAAAAAACAAAAAAAAATAAGGTGCTTAAGAAATTGAACAAAAACGTCTACTCCCATTGAAAATATACCTGCTATCAAAAAAACTATGGACTTCCCAGGTGGCACAGTGGTAAAGAATCCACCCACCAATGCAGGGAGATGTGGGTTCAGTCCCTGGGTCAGGAAGATCTCCTGGAGGAGGAAATGGCACCCCACTCCAGTATTCTTGCTTGGAAAATTCCAGGGACAGAGGAGCCTGGTGAGCTACAGTCCCTGGGGTCAGAAAGAGTCAGATATGACTAAGCAATTGAGCACACATGCACACACATCAAAACTACACTTCGTGTGTCTTCAAACTCAGTTCCAAGGCTCCCTCTGGCACAAAGTCTTCCTATTTATCCCAGTCAAGCATGTGAGATGATAAAGAAGTTCTTGTGATGAATAAAATACCCAGTCACTTAGATTCACAGGGAGGGGCAGAGAAGGATAATGAAGCCAGCATTTTGCCTAGTGTGGTTTCCACTTTTCTGAACTAGGGTGGGGCAGTCCTTCTAGCTGGGTTTAGTCCAGGCTTATCGCCTCATTAGCTGTGTGACTTATGGACAGTTATTTCACCTTCCTGATCCTCTAATTTCTCATCAATAAAATAAAGTTATAACAGTAGCTGCTTCTCAGGGCTGTTAGGAGGGCTCAGTGAAAAAAAATACTCATGGCACTAAAATGACAACTGTAGTTTGTGTTAGCTGTTATGTTTATTTGATATATAAAACCCTCTTGATAAAGTTAGCTGTTGTGTCTGTCTTTCCTATGAGACCATAAGCTGAGTCAGAGGAAGGCCTTGGTCTCATCATTTATGACCTCACACTTAGTAGGTGCTCAAATTTTCGAATGCCTCTCGGTGGAGACTTCCAATTCCCCACCACCTGGGAAGCTACAGCAGGACAGAATTATGCACGAAGACCAACAGGGACATTTACAAATGGATACATTAGGACTGGACATGGCGTTTGAGCATCGGCCAGCTGTTGTTTGTGTAGCAGATAATGAAAAGCAAAAGGAATGCATTTCAGCACATATTCGACGGTGAGATGGAAGCCACTGTTCTGAGAGGCTAATACGGAGTCATTTTCCCTGATTTACCTGAGGAGGTTAATAAGGAACCATCAAAACCCTTCCAGGTTTGATGCCCTGTAGCATGCCGGCTGTTAAATTTTCCTCATGCAAATTCTGTCCCGTCCTTAAATTTGTTGCCAGGTAGAGCACATTTATTTTGCATCTTGTCAGTGTTTTCCATTTCAAATTATCTTTGTCATTTTTACTCTGTAGAAATATTGTTATGATTATTACAAATGCAATTCCGTTAGAGGAGCTGAAAATTGTCTTTATGATTTTGTGCCAGCTGGTAGCCATGAAAATTCATGGGCTGGTAGACTGGCTTTTATCAGAAGTCATCTTTTTTTCCTTTCTCCATAGCTTCATTATCAGTCCCTCCACATTTCCATCTCCCTGTCCCTCCTGCCTTTTGATATGTTTTCCCCTTCCTATGTATCCTTTTCTCTTTCATTCTCTTTTTTCCTTCTTTTTTTTTCAAACTCTTTCACTTGCTTCTTTATATATATACCTCTTCCCTTTGGTGAGCACTGGAGAAGTCTGAATATATATACGTATATATAAAATAATTTAATTCTATGCCCTTCATTTTACAGATGGTAAAATAGAGGCTACAGGAATGACATGGTTTGCCCAAAATCACAAAGTAAAATCCAAGAAAGGATGTAGGGCAGCCGACGCATCTGAGCTTTTTCACACTCACAATACTTTACAGTAGGGGCTACCATCTGCCTCTGACCCATTGTCATCTTACATAAGATGTATTTTTTAACACATCTTCTGGTACCCTGAAATGAAGGACAAGTAACCTGCCTATATACTTATTTTTAAAAAACACTCTAAACAGCGATATAAAGAAAAAATAAAAAAGAAAGCAATTATAATAAAATAACACGTATTTCAATATGTATATCCTAGCCCCGTGCTTCTTAATTTCAATGTGCATAGAAATCAAGCAGGGTTCTGGTTAAATGTAGATTCTAGGTCACTCAGTCTGGAGGTGGCCTATGAGATCCTACATTTCGCACAGGGTTTCAGGTTGCATCCACAGATCTATTCTATGGATCATACTTGGAGTCACAAGGGCCTTGAGGTAAAAAAAAAAAAAAAAGCACACAAAAACTCTAGGTATTTCCAAAACATGCCCCCATGGAGGTATCTACCAGCCCTGTTAGGACTAGCATTGAATTAAAATATGTAGTAAATTATTTTCGTATTTTTTAAGTCTTCAATATAAGTGCAGATTTGTCCCTAGTTTTGAAATAAGAGGGTACTCCATCAGTGATTGGGCAGTGGGGCAAGAGGGGATTGGAACACAGAGGAGAGAGGCTCTGCAGAGGGGTCCTGAGAGGGCAAAGTTTCTGCCCCAGGCATCTCCTGGATGAGCCATGGTCCATGAGCCGCCCCACCTTAATGGGATGGATGGAGTAGATGCAGGTGGTACCCCTGACCATCGTGTAGCCGGTGCAGGAATGCGGCCGGATGCTGACTGCCAGAGTACAGGGAGACAGGATTTGTGGGCTCATAGCCTCCCTTAAGGCTCTGGGTGGGAGGATTGTGCCATAAGTTAGGGATCTTTGTCATTTTGTGATTTGCATTTTTTACTGTCAGTTGTTTTTGAAAACTAATGATTTATGGCCAAAGCTTTAAATTGAACTGTCCATCCATTTTGTGTTCAGCTCCAGCTACCTTCATTTTCCTCCCGAGTTTATTCTCTTTGTGATATATAGTCAACATTTCACTGTTTGCCACATTAAATTGTCCTGCATTCAGAAGGCTAGCAGTGTGGGACAGTAGCTGAAAGCACAGGCTGCTGAGATTTCTGCCTGCCGCTACTTGTGTGACCTTTGGCAAGGGAGGGACCCTCTCTGTTCCTCAGTTTCCCATTCTCTAAAACAGCGGAAGACCATCTTATTTACAAAGCAGAAAGAGAAATACAGACATAGAGAACACACATACTGATACCAAGGGGGGAGGGGGTTGGGGGAGGATGGGATGACCTGGGAGATTGGGATTGACATATACACTGCTGGTACTATGGATAAAAAAGATAACTAATGAGAACCTACTGTGTAGCTCAGGGAACTCGACTCAGTGCTCTGTGGGGACCTAAATGAGAAGGAAATCCAAAACAGAGGGGATGTCTGTATTTATATAGCTGATTCGCTTTGCTATGCCGTAGCAACTAACACAACATTGTAAGGCAACTATACTCCAATTTTTTTTTTTTAAGAAAAGAAAGAAAAATAAATAAAACAGCAAAAATAGTAGTGCACCTACCTCGTATTGTAGTTGAGAAAGCCAAATGAAAGAACACAGGGTTCTTTAGGACTCAAGAAATGTTAGCTGGTAGCTTCCTAAGGAGTAATGGTCTCCGGGGCATTGTCCTTTCAATTAAAGCAAAGAGCTTGTTGACCTCAGTCAGTAGCGCAACACTACCAGAGTTTAGCATGCTTTTCTTTGCCGTTAGACTCTTTCTAAGACATAAAACTCTTTTTCAAAAACCAGCTGAACAAAGATACCGATGAGCCTAGCAAGCATACCAGAATAAGTCCACAAAAAATACTGTGTACGCACAAAGATCTTTTCTTTCCTTTGAGGAAAATTGTTTCTGATTCCTAGTTTGCATTCCCCCAGTTGGCTCAATCTTTCTGGAAGCTGATGCCTTCCAGGGACGTGCTAAGGTCCATGGGTCTTGGGTGGCACTAACCATTCAGATGATCACCAGTCTGATAGCAGAATGAATACACACTGACCCGGGCCTACAGCTTCCTTCCGGGTCCTTCAGCTTTGCAGCTTCTGAGTCATCAATGAGTCCCAAAGCTGATCACCATTAGCCTTTCTTCCCCCAACTCTTCCTTTCTCAGATTGCTGCAGGGCAAGATGAGAACTCACTGAGCTACACCCCTAGCCAGGCTCAGCCTCTTTCTCACACTCCAAAAACCTCCTTTCCCCACCTCATTGCCTCTCTAAAGCGCTTTTCCTCTTCCTTCCCTATCAAAGATGCCAAGCATAATTGCCTTAATAGACTCAGGCTTTGGGGGGAAGAAAAATCCCAAAGTGTGTCTGGAAGCATCTCCATTTCTCTTGTCACACATCTCCCCTGAGACCAAAAAAGTGTGGAGCCTGGCTGCATAGCAGAAAGTAAAAGGGAAAATAGAGGGAGACAATGTAATGACCAGTTCAGAGAAAGTCCTGCCTTCCTAGGACTAGTGTAAACTTTATGTGTAAACGTAATACACAGGCGAGAGCAAGATCTGCAGAACTACCAGCTCCAGCAAGGTCTCCTTTGGAACCAATGTCAGCCAATTCCAGACATTCATAATTTAAGCCAACTCATCCTTTTCCCCTAACTAGTTAACTTAGTGGTCTTTTAAAAAGAATAAGATGATACGAACAAGATTAATTAAACCTTTTCCTACTCTTTCCCTGTCCTCTACATTTCCAGTTAATGAGGTTTCTTCTAAAATTACAGTAAAATGTCACAAAGTGGTGCTCATGAAAAAAGCAGTAGCTTTAAAGTCAGAGTGATTTAATGGTGAGATTTTGCTTTTCTCCTATCTCATTACCCTTGGTGCCCTACTGGTATCTTTACTCATGAGAAATGTTTAAACGACATGGATCTTCTACGTGGGCTGGGCCCTGCTGGAGCCAGAGGCCCGAATGAAGTAGATTTGATCTTCAGATCTTCAGATTTTCAGAGTTTCCCTCCCTCACCTCCTTACCCCCACCTACCTCCCCTGTCTTTGTAAATATTCAATTATCTCCCAATTCACCCAATATATTCTCCACTATTCTTCTTTCCTTTGTGCTCACATCTGGTGAGCTGGCAAGCAGATATTTTTCCTACAGTGGTCCACGACAGAGGTTGGCAAACTTTTTCTGAAAAGGGCCAGATAATAAACAGCTGGGCCTTTGAGGGCCATCTCTATCACAGCTATTCAACTTTCATTATAGTTCGAAAGCATCCATTGGCAATACTGGAAAACAAATGACATGGCCGGTCTTCAATAAAATGCTACTGTGGATGTGAAGATTTAAATCTCATATACTTCTCACATGTCACAAAATAGTACTCTTTTGATTTTTATTCAACCATTTTAAAATGCAAAACCCATTCTTGGATTGCAAACTATACAAAAACAGGCAGCAAGTCACATTAGGTCCATGGACTGCAGTCTGTCAACCCAGGGCCAACTCTTGATTTTTCTCACTAATGTATAGGAAATGGTCCCCCAAGCAGCAAATAATCCAGAAATCACTTCTATTTGGCTCTGGAATGCACTCTGAAATTTTTTTAAGCAGCCTGCTGATTTTCCTGGTTTCCTTGATTCTAGTCCAGTAATCAAATTAGAATGGATTCCAGGTGAGTGGAGACAAAGAGGCCATTCTAAAATTATGACCCACTGTGGGGGGCGGGGCTTGTCCAATGATTGCAAACCCCTGATGAAAATGGAAGAGTTCTCACATGTATAATAGCAGATTTACTGCTGAAACATTGAGCATTTTTATTACGTTCTAACAAGATTTCAGTGGTGGCAATGCTAATTATGCATTCTTTCTACATTTACACATTGGCACTTTTTTGTTTTAATCAGAAAACTGATTGCTGATTTATCTTGTTACCATGGTGATTGAAACATTACCCTGAGCTTGAAATGGAAAAATAGGTGACTTCGTACTTCATTAACTTCCTCAGAGAATCTTCAGAAGGATAAATCTTTGGGCCTGAGAAGGTTTTGGACACCATGTGACCCAAGCCCGTCAATTTACAGATGAGGAGACCGAGGCCTATGAGATTCAAGCATCATCTTAGGACTGAAATATCTGCCATTCAGTATCTACCCCAAAGTCACCTACTAGTGATTGATAAGTGCGATTTGCCTAGAACAGGTCTCCTGACTCCAGCAAATGGTCTTTCTACTGAATCACCGGGTCTCACAGTCCCTGCCACGGTTAGGTCACCTGCCAGAGTGATGCCTCTGACCTAGAAGTGTCACATCATTACGTAACACCTGGGCACCACCCCCAACCCCACACCACCACCAGCACTGTTTTGTTCTTTCAGAACAGTCTCTGGATTCACAAGTTCTTCTGTAGATATTGGAGAGGGTTCATTGAAGAATTCCTTTACATATTTAAAAAGGTCAGAGGCTTTGGAGCCCATTCCTGCTTTATCTAGAATAGCCTCTCAGAGGTGGAAATCTTGAAGAGTTTGTCCAGAAGTCAGATGATCAACATCTGGTGGCATCTTCTGCAAGTTGGTACATTTCAGGATGGACCTTTGGGAACCTTTAAAAATGATCCCACCTACTAACTCAAGACTCAAGGACTGCAGAACTTAAGAGCACTGCTTAAAGGCAAACTAGCAATTGTTCCCACAAAGCATGGCCACTGTACTAGCCATATGTCATGCTACCCCCCATTTGACAGAGAAACTGCAGCTCAGAGAGGGAAAGTAACTTACCCAAGATCACGCAACAACTGGGAACTGGCAGGACCATGTGACTCCTAGGTTTTCTGGCTTCAAAGTTTTAGCTATTTTCATAAGCTCCTGGGGTCTAAAAGTGAGCCATAGGCATCCCAGAAACAAATGCTTTCATCAGTCCTCCCAGCCAGGCCCCAGAAATTGATAAATCAACATATTGCCACGGTAAGCCAGGTCACTAGTAGTAATGGCTAACATCTATTGAGTATGTAGACAAACCAAACACTGTTCTAAGAATGGTATATACATTAATTCATTTAATCCTTATGACAATAAGGTATAGATATTCTTATTTTGCCCATTTTTTTTTTAGAGGCAGAAGGAGAGTAGGTAACTTGTCCAAGGTTACATCACTGATTAAAGGCAGGGCAGCCAGGTCCCAGAGTCCAGGCTTATGGATGGATCAGAATATATCTCAGCCTCAGTGCATAAAGCAGGGGTGTCAGCCTCAGCATTTGTGATGTTTGGAGCTGAACCACTCCTTGTTGATGGGAGTGGGGGAGGCTGGCATAGGCATTTTATGATGCTTAGCAGCATCCCTGGCTTCTACCCACTAAAATGCCAGTAGCACCTCACCCTCCAGTTGTGATGAACAGGAATGTCTACTGACGTTGCCAGCTGTCTCCTAGAATCAAAATCACCCCCACTTGAGAACTACTGACATAGAGTATAAAACCTTATAAGCCTCCCTAATCTTTATGGTGGCCCAGGCTTCTTCCTAAAGGTAGATTGATAAATAATTTAGCCTGGTAATTATGTTTTCCAAAGTTTATATACATGTACCTAAATAATTCAATTTAAATCAAATTTGGAATATCACCGAAATGGAATCAGAGTATGAATGAAACCAGCACTCTTTTCTGATTGATTGCTATAATCCATAGCTTGCATTGCACCAACACCAAGTGAAAAAAAAAAGAGATATGACCATAGAAAACATAGACCAAGAGTTGTTTCTCCCTCCCTCCCTTCCTTCCTTCCCTTCCTCCATCTTCTTCCCTTTCTTTTCCTCTTTTTCTCTCTTTCTTAATATTTACCTGGAATTCACAGCATAATTTTAGGACTTAGACTCCCAGAGACTTTGCATATCTATTCCAATTGCCATTTTATAGGAGGAAACACCAAAGTCCAAAGAACCTAGATAATGAGTCCAAAGCTGCTCATCTGTTTATAGTGTCAAGGACACTAAATGAGAAGCATCTCTTCCTGCTTGCTAGAGTCCAGGTGTGGTTGTGTGTCCTGTACATACTGTTTTGAGGATTCAGCACATGTTGTGCACGTGTCTCTGCAGCGAGCAATCCCCACCTGACACCAGCCCGGGCCTCCGCAGACCCTACTGCCCCCACTGCAAGTCCAGCTGTGACTCCAGTGGCAGACGCCTCCGCTCAGGACCAGCCCACCGTCATCAACAGTCCAGAACCACGTGGGTGAACTGTGCAATCCAGGTCTCTCCAGATGAGAGAGAATCCTTTCAGCTACTGGTATTGGAGAGCTGCGGCGGGGGCATTATACACCTTAAATGTCTTCTCAACTGGATGCGAATTTTGCACTCGGTGTCTTTTTTTCTTTTAAATCAAAGAAATACCCAGAGCAGACAGTGGTTATACCAAAGGTTATCAGACAAATACCAGGTTCATCCTGATCACAGCGGGGTGCTGGGGAGGTTAACTGGGTTATTCTGGATGTCCACACCTAATGATTGTGTGAATAGGGAGTCAGAGTTTGCCTTGTGGTGTATCTAAATCCTTATACACTGCGGTGCATTTTAAGAATCTTAACCCCTTGTTCATTCCATTTTATTAAAACAACAGAAAATCGTGACTTCTCTACCAGTTGGATAATATTTGGTATGCGTGTTTGCCACTGCCCAGCTCCTTAAAGTCCCAAGGACAGATTTCCATTTGACATCTAAGACCCAGCATTTCTGAGGCACCTTGAAATGAATAGGTTAAGGCTGGAAACACAGGAAAGGCAATGGCTTTGTAAATGGGTTTACATTTTTCTCCTTGAATTTTTCTAGGGTCGTAATGCTTCCAAATCAGTTAATGACACTGTTGGATGTCGTTTACTTTTCAATTGCAATCCATAAAATAACATTTAGAAAATTCTTAGTATTTAAGTGTAGTCTTTTCCATGAACTACCCATTAGAATAGACTGGCAGCAGTGGAAAACGCGGGAAACAAACCTTTAGCTCATAGTCTCATTCCCCACCCCTTATGCCTGCCTGTATCTGAGTAGGGGTGTGGGGTGTGTGTGTGTGTGTGTGTGTGTGTGTGTGTGTGTCTGAGAGAGAGAGAGAGAGAAGAGAAAGAACCAACTGCCCACACTGTATGCTGCTAAGGTAGTAAATAAATCAGTAATGCAATATTGTGGGTCCAAACTACTCTTTGCACTACTTTATTTACAGTAGTAAATAAAAATTATTTTTATACCATTGACTCCTAGGAAGTGGCTGCTTTTTATTTTTCTTTTTTGTAGTTAACTGTTGTCATCGTACAAAGTCCTAAAGTCCATTCATTCACCTCAAGGAGGCAAAAAGAAAAAGTCCCCTTATGAGAGGGATTATTGCTGGTAACCATTAACGTTTGTGGATAGAGAGGTGGCAGGAGTCTCCTCTCCAGGGAGCCTGAGCTCAGAGGCTGTGATACTGTGATACTGTGATGTTCACACCGTATCAGCCATTGTCTCAGGGCTCTGGCTGTTGTGAGGCCGGGTTTCTATCAGTTCTCGGCTAAGTCTGTAGCCCATCCTCTATTCCTCTGTGTACTGTTCTTGCTTTAGCAAAGATTGTCTTTCCTCCTTGTGAAAACAATAGGCTTTGGAGTCAGACAGCCCCAGATACAAATCCTGGTTCTGCTGCTTACTAGCTCTGTAATCTGGGGTGAGTGATTAACCTCTCCGAGTCCCCGATTACTGTTTTACCAAATATTGGCCATATAACCCACCTCTTGGGCTTTTCATGAGGCTTAAGTGGGATAACAGGGCTTCCCAGGTGGTGCTAGTGATAAAGAACCCGCCTGCTAGTGCAGAAGACTCACGTTTGACCCCTGGGTGGGGAAGATCCCCTGGAGAAGGAAATGCAACCCATTCCAGTATTCTTGCCTGGAGAATCCCATGGACAGAGGAGCCTGGTTGGCTACAGAACATAGGGTTGCAAAGAGAAAACAGACAACTGAAACGACTCAGCACACACAAAACAATCAAGTAGGATAACGTGTAAAACTCTCCGGACAGTGCCCTGAACATGGTTGGTTGTTATTTTTATTAGAAAGAGAAGTTGAGGGGTCAGATCAAGGGCTCTTTGGTCCACCTAGATGCTCTTCATGGCAAACACACTATTCTTCAGCTGCTGGGAACACAGGCCACTGACAGCTCTTCACTGGGAATTGCCATCAGTGTTCGGGATCTGCCCAAGGTAGATCTTTCCAAATGCAACTCAGGGCCAAAGACTTGTTAATGTCGGGAGGGAGGTTTTCACAATCTCAGCACTGCTGACCTGCGGGGTCAGGCGGTTCTTTTTGTGGGGCGGTAGAGGGGGGTTGCCTGTCTTGGGCATGAGGATGTACAATAGCAGCATCACTGGTCTCTACCCATTAGAAGCCAGAGGTGCATGCACCCCCCACCCCCAGCGCAGACACCCCCTCGTAGGCCAGTGGTGACAGCCAGAAGGGTTCTGACATTGCCAAACATTCCTTGGATGGTCAAAAATCATCACCCCTCCTTCACCTTGACAGTGATTGATGAAGGAAAACAAAGGCTCCTTGCCTCAATTTGGAACAGTCCTTGAAGGGCCACCCCAGCTCCAGAACACCACCTTGGTGGCACCCTCATTCTAGCTCAAATTCTCCCTCTGCCCCATTCTGCCCTCCTTGTTTTCACATTGGATTTCCTGCCATCTCCTGTAAAGGCTCCTATAAACCTTCCTACACAACCCTGCGCTAAGAATCTGTTTCCAAGAAACACAGTTAAGTTAGTCTTCTAGAGCTGCCATGTCAAGTAGCACAGACTGGGTGACTTTAACAACGGAACGTATCTCCTTGCCGTACGGAGGCTGGAAATCCAAGATCAAGATGTCAGCAGGGCTGGGTTCTTCTGAGGCCTCTCCGTGGCATGTAGGTGGCATTGTCTTCTAACGGTGTCTCTTTACAGTCTTCCTCCTGTGAGTGTGGGTGCCCCAGTCTCCTCCTCTTACAAGGACACCAGTCCTATTGGGTCAGGGCCCATCCTAATGACCTCATTTTACCTTAAATATCTCTTTAAAAACCCTGTCTCCAAATGTGATCACATTCTGTGGTATTGGGGGTTAAGACTTTAATACATGAGTTTTAGGAGGGCACAATTCAGTCCATAATACCAAACAAAAACACCCTGGGAGGTTGAATCAGGTCCAGAATATGGACTCTTGGGAGCTGTCCTGATCTGAGACAGTTGCCCAAACCTGCTCTTCTCAGCTGATTCTGGAAAGAACAGGAGTGGTTCCAGAACCAAAACACTTCAATCACTTCAGTTGAAGCTGGTAGAGAGTAAAAATGTTAGTCACTCAGTTCTGCTGACTCTTTGAGACCCCGTGGACTGTAGCCTACCAGGCTCTTCTGTCCATGGAATTCTCCAGACAAGAACACTGGAATGGATCTTCCTGACCCAGGGATCGAACCTGGGTCTTTTGCATTGGAGGCTGGATTCTTTACCATCTGAGCTACCAGGGAAGCTAGTAGGTCTTCCATCAATTCCTGTTCCAGCTTAGACTCCTATTCTCTTGGGAGTTCTCAGACAGTATGATATAGGTCCAGCTTTGATCTCCATCTTATCTCCTTATGTTCTAAACTCAGTTCCCATAAGTCTGATGTCCATGCTGGCTAGAATAGAACCCGGCACAGTGAAGGCAACAGGGCCGGGGCTTGGGGGTGGCGGGTGGGGAGAAAAAAAGGAATGGGAGGATGGGGTCCAGAGGTGATACTCCGTTATTTCCCTATTGTCCCCTCTTCTTGGGACATTCTTAGACCAGAGGGTGAAGTTCAGTAGATTGTGAAACAGATCTAGCAAAAAGATGTCATTTATTTGGTCCACCAAATACTTTTAAAAATTCAATTATGTTGTTATCTTAAAGATTTTAGGCTTTTCCTAGAAAAATCTACAGATGTGAAAAAACTGGACTTTCATTGCTATATGGTAAGAACTGGCTGAAGCTGAGAACGTCTGCTCCTTTTAGATAGATCTTGTGCCCTCTGGTTTGCCCCCATCTCCACCATTCCCTGCTGTTTAAACTTAACCTACGTAGGTATTTCAATTTATGACCCATGCTTTGGACTTTCTCTTCATTCTTAATGAATTTATTTTGGCAAGTTTGAGACAGACCTCCAAATTTACCTACAGCTTAATCACTGCAAAGCCCCTGGGGAACTGGGGGAATGGTAGTCTTTCTGTGGTCTTATAGAGGGAGAGGCCAAGTTGTGAGTCATTTTGAAGTCCCAGTAAAGTGTCCAAAATGTTGCAGTATAAAATGTCAGTTAAAAATAAAGCAGTACTTTCGGGAATTCCCTGGCAGTCCAGTGATTAAGATTCCATTCTTTAACTGCTGAGGGTGCAGATTTAACCCCTGGTCTGGGAACTAGGATCCCACAGTCCTTGCAATGAGGCCAAAAAAATTTTCTAAAGATTAGTATTTTCCTACACCAACAAATAACTAAATGATAAGATATTAAATAATTATATTTATTAAAACAAATATTTAATAAAATAATAAATATTGTAAATTAAACAGTTCATTTACAATAGCAATACAGTTATAAAAAAGATAAACATGTCTAGTAATTAACAATGAATTTAATAGATCTTTACCAAGGAAAAAAATTTAATTTAAAAGTATATATTGCTTTATTTATATTTTCTCTAAATAAAGCAATATACCAAGTTCATAGGTGGGATAACAACTTAAAAATATGTCAATTTCCTTATAGTTGATATATAAATTCACTGAAATTTTAATCTAAGTCCTGATTTTGTGAGAAATGAGCAAACTGATTTTAAAATTTATATGAAAGAATAAAAATTCATGCATAACTAACTAAAAAAAGAAAAGTAAAGCGCATTGACCTACCAAATATTATTATACAACAAAATCGTAATAGCAGACATAGTAGGTGATGATGGAGGAACAGACAAACGATCCAGGTGAAAAAATGGGGATCACAGGAACCGACCAGATTTATATGGAGATTTGATGTGTGATAAAATATTATCACAACTCAGTGGGACTAAAAGTGGAATATTTAATAAATAGAGTTAGGAAATTGGCCAATCATATGCAGAAAAATAAGACTGAAACTGTACCTCATGTCCTTTATTTTTAAAATTCAAAATAAATTAAAAATTTAACATGAAAAGTAGAACCACAAGGCTAGTAGGAGAAATTGTAGCAGAATATTTTACA